GGCAGCCACACATTGACATTTCTCTCCTCTTTCTCCCTCCCTTCCCCTCTCTCCAAAAACAAATAAATAAAATCTTTAAAAATAAAAAAAACAAACTAAGCAAGCAAGAAGAACAGAGACAGAACCATGGATATGGGCAGTGTTTTGTTGATTGCCAGATGGGAGGGAGTGTGGGGAATGGATGAAGAGGTGAGGGATTAAGAAGTACGAACAGGTAGTCACAGAATAGCCATGGGGGTGTAAAGCACAGCATAGGAAATGGAGCAGCCAAAGGACTTACACACCTGACCCATGGACGTGAACAATGATGCAGGAACTGCCTGAGGGAGTGGGGGTGCTGGGTGGAAGGGGGGCAAAGGGGGAAAAATTAGGACAATTGTGATAACATAATTGATAAAATATAATTTAAAATAATAATTATTGGATCCAGATGGTGAAAGAGAGGGGCCATATCACTCCTGGACAATAAACTCGGACCTCAGTACGGCTCCTCTCACCCTCACTCACTCTGCCCCGGCCACTGGCCCCTCGAGGGGCCTTTGCACTTGTTATTTCCTCTCTGCTTGCTGCACGCACTCTCCCTCCAAACACCACATGATTTATTCTTCTAACTCCTGCAAATACTTGCTCAAATTCATCATCTCAGCCCTGAACTGTGTGGCTCAGTTGGTTGGATGTCCTTCTGCAAAGTGAAAGGTCGCCAGTTGGATTCCTGGACAAGGCACATGCCTGGGTTGCAGGCCCGGTCCCCCAGCTGGAGGGTATGAGAGGCAACCAATCGATGTTTCTCTGTCACACTGATGTTTCTCTCCCTCTCTATCTCCTTCCCTTTTCCCATCTGTAAAAATAAATTTTAAAAATTTTAAAAAATGACCATTTCAGTGACATCTTCCCCGACCACCTTATCTAAAACTGCATCCACTCTCAGCAATACCCATGACTCCTTCCGGCTCCTCCTTCCTGGTGTCAGAGCTCCCACGTCAGAAACCTCCGGAACTCTCCTGGAGGCAGTCGAACTTGCTAAGCTTGCTATCATTAACTCACTGCCGGGGAGGAGACAACCCGCCGTGGGGAGCCGCAGGTATCTGAGTGAGAGGGTTAAGCCTCATGTTAGGAGATGAGGACTCAGGGAAGGAGGGTCTGGTCCGGATTGGATGCTGCCAAGAGGTGAGAGTAACCCACGCCTGAGCATCTTAATCATTCTTATCTAGGAGATGAGAAGAGGAAAAGGAGGCTGAGCGTGCCATTGGTAAAGAAGTAGCAGTCGCTCATATACGCCAGGACAGGACGCTTGGTTACTCCTGTGGTTTGGGCAGTCCATGTTTTCCCTGTTTGGACAGGGTTCTTTTTTTTTTTTAAGATTTTATTTATTTATTTTTAGAGAGAGAGGAAGGGAGGGAGAAGGAGGGAGATAAATATCAATGTGTGCAAGAAACATCAATTGGCTGCCTCTAACACGCCCCCATCCAGGGACCTGGCCTGCAACCCAGGCATGTGCCCTGACTGGGAATTGAACTGGCAACCCCCTTGGTTCTCAGGCCTGCACTCAACCCACTGAGCCACACCAGCCAGGGCAGATTCTTTTTTGCCTCAAGCATCACAGACACAGGTAGCCAAGATTGATGTCCACATTCTAACGTTTTTATTCAATAGAACCCAGGATTTGCAGTGAGAGCCTGGGTGGGAGGGGCTGCTCTCCCTTTCTCACGGGTGTACTTACCTGCTGCACTCATTCTGTACTGCACAGAACATCAGCTCTGAGGAGCAAGCATTTGTCTGTTTGTTTCTTGCTGTGTCCCCCACTGATAGAACTGGCCTAGCACGGGATAGGTGACCAAATATAATCCATGAAGATTGAATGGAACTTGTAGAAGCATTCACAAGCCTACCCCAGACTGCTCCTGCTGCTTGTCTGACTTTAGGGTTCAGGGGATTCTCACCTCTGCAGACAGACTCTGTCCCAGGGGAGGTGACTGACTTGGGTCCCCTTTCTCCAGGGAGGACTCTGACTCAGAGGGACTCCTGCCTAGGAGTGTGGGTGTGGGGTGTGGGGTGTGGAGTGTGGTCCCATGTGCCTACCTGTCCTGGAGCTGCCTGCCAGGAGCTGGGCCTTAGGACTCAGCATGTGGAAGAGGCCTATGGAAAGGCCTGGGTATGAGGAATCTCTCTCCAGAGGCACCAGCCCCACCTCCAGTGAGCTTTGTTGATAGGAGCCTTTGAACTGAATGATAGGAGCCTTTGAACTCTGCTTCATCCGTAGATAGAACTAATTACCGCATTCTGATTCTGTGTCCTTGAGCTCTGCTTCTGCCCCGTAGACAGAACTAATTACCGCATTCTGTTTCTGTATCTTGCTTTGCCACGTAGATAGGAAGACCCCTAATCTATATATTCCCCAAGAATCTTTTGTTCAGGGCTCAGAATTTGGAGACTGACTCCTCTGGGCCCATGCATGTAAAAAGGAATAAACCTCGTACTCCAGAATCCCTCAGTGTCTGGTCGCTTCATTTCCAGTAACATTGTGAACCTGGCCAGACTCTCCTTGCCTCTGGGCCTGTCTCCCCATGACCTCGAGTGACTACAGGGACTCTTCACATTCCAAAACATCAGTGACTATTTGTGCTGGCTAATTTGAAGACAGAGTGTGTCAGAGCTGCATAAAGACCGGTGTCAGCTTCTTGTCCACCGTCAGGAAGGTACCCACCATGCACTCCTGGTGCTCCTGGCCCTGAGCTCAGCAATCAGGAGGCAGTGATATGGGAAGCTTTGAAGAACCTTTGTTTAACCTTTATTTGTCCAGGCCCCAGGCACCCTGGGGAGAATGATGGGGCTGTCTGGGATAAGCATTAGCTAGGGCTGAGATTAGCACCCCTGCTGTTAAAAACTAACCTTCGAATTTAGCCTTTGTACTTTCCTTTTGCCTTGTAGCTAGGACTAACTTCCAAAATCCTGCTTCTGTATCTTGCTTTACTACCCCCGAAGGCTATATAAACCTCAAGAATCCTTTGTTCGGGGCTCAGAATTTGGAGACTGAGTCCTATGGACCCGTGCACGTTAATAAACCTCGTACTCCAGAAACCCTTGGTGTCTGGTTGCTTCATTTTCCTGCAACAGCAGGGCAGGCAGGTCACACTGCATTAGGGTGAGGTGCAAGGACCACTGACTCACTAAACAAGCACTTTGAGGGTGCGTGCTCTGGGCAGTCCTGTTTGGGATGCTTGGAATATACCAGTACATAAAATTAAAGTGAGTCCTGCGAACCAAAGGGTCACCAGTTGATTCCCAGTCAGGGCCCGCGACTGGGTTGTGGACCAGGACCCCAGCTGCAGACACATAAGAGGCAACCACACACTGACATTTCTCTCCCTCTCTTTTTCCATCCCTTTCTCTAAAGTAAATAAAATCTTTTTAGTAAATAAATAAATGAAATGCCCTGGCTGGTGTAGCTCAGTGGATTGAGCGCGGGCCTGCGAACCACACGATCGCGGTTCGATTCCCAGTCAGGGCACATGCCTGGGTTGCAGGCCGGTTCCCTGCAGGCCAGTTCCCAGCAGGGGACGCACAAAAAAGGCAACCATACATTGATGTTTCTCTCCCTCTCTCCTTCCCCCCCTTCCCCTCTAAAGATAAATAAATAATAAAATATTTAAAATAAATAAATAAATAAATAAATAAATGAAATGAAAGTGAAAATCTTCTGCTTTCCTGAGCTCACATCCTAGTGAGAGAAAAATATATTTTGCTTTTTTTTCAATTCTAGTTTTTGAAAATGTATTGAGGAAACATTGGTTAACATTATGTAAGTGTCAGATGTACAACTTTATAACACAACATGTGTATTCTCTATTGTGTGTTCACCACACAAAGGCTAGTCTCCGTCCATCACCATATATTTGACCTCCCTTCACCCTCTTCATCCTTCCCCCAAAACACTTTTTTTTCCTGTGGAAAAAAAGAGAAGTAGAGCAGGTAGGAGATTGGACAGTCACGTGTGTGGGGGGGAGGTGCAGTTGCACTTTTAAATGGAGTAGGCAAGGTGGACCTGTTAACACAGTGATGTTCATCAGAATGACAATATCAGGGAAGGAGCTTCCGGGGAAGAGGCCCCAGGTGAAATCTAGGAGGACGTCGGTGGAGAGCAGAGCGGAGGGGGCAGGAGGTTTTCCCTCCTTGTAGATCAGCAGCCGTGGCAGGGTTCGGGATGAGGGAGGAAGGCCCAGGAGGTCCTGAGGCTCTGGCCGGAGCCTCTGGAGCCTGAGATGAGCACCAGGGCAGCCCCACACTCCTGACTGGGGAAGACAGCTCATCAGGCGTTACTCAGGTTGTTGCACGTGTATTCACAATTCACTGAAGATTTCTAGGAAATGGTTAAAGGGTTATCTCTAGAACTGAGGGGGTGAGAAGGGAAATTCTATTTGAGCTGTACTTTTGTGAGGATTGCTATTACAATTAATGCATTTAATTTTTATATAAAAAATTTTAAAACATTTTAAATACATGCACAAAACATGTGTTAAAGAAAATGTAGAAAGAAAAGCCTGAGTGTGCAAAGATTATGTGTTTATGTGTGTGTGTACAATAAACCAAATTACAGTCCTGGCTGGTGTGGCTCAGTGGATTGAGTGCCGCCGGCCTGCAAACCAAAGTGTCGCCAGTTTGATTCTCAGTCAGGGCACATACCTGGGTTGTGGGTCGGGACCCAAGTTGAGGGCGTGCAAGAGGCAATCAATCAAAGTATCTCTCACACATCAATGTTTCTCTCTTCTCTTCCTCCCTCCCTCCCCCTCTTTCTAAAGTAAATAAAATCTCTTTAAAAAATTAAAACATAAATAAACCAAATCACAGAAATAGACTCTGAGTTCATTTGACTAGTGAAAATGAACAAACAGATTCTAATCATCATGTGAGAAAAAGCTCAACCTCAACAACAAATAAACACAGGTGCCACGAACAAATAAAAGTCATAACACTGAGGGACTGAGCAAAAAGGACTTGTGGACATGGACGACAGTGGGGTGATTGCGGGGGGTAAGGGGTAAAAGGGGACTAAATAGTAATGGAAACAATACAATAAAAAAATAAAAGCTTAGGGAAAAAAATGAATGTTGGTCATGCTGGGGAGAAACTTGTCCACACCGCAAATTTGAGGGCTCGGTCCAGAAACAGAGCTGTTGGCAGAGGCTCCGCATCTTCCTCTGAGCACCCCTGGGCACACTCTGGGGGGCAGCCTGGGAGGTGGCTGTGGGGAAAAGCACACAGGGAGGAGCTCTGTAGTCACCCCAGCAGGCCCAGGCCCGGGCTCTGGGATTGGTCTGCAAGCCCCTTCTGCCGGGAGGCCCCAAATTCCTGGCTCAGACATAAAGACAGGTCAGGCTCTGGGGGAGCCCACAGCTCAGCTCAACCCCCACATCATGGACTTCATGGTTTTGGCCACAAGTGCTCGGTGCAGGAGCCCAGGGAAAACACACAAAACAAGGATGAATAACCCAAGCCCTCTTCCTGTGGGGGTAGTCGTTGATGCGGTTCTATCCAGCCCTTTCTTCTATTAAAGAACATTATCAGCCCTGGCTGGTGTAGCTCAGTGAATTGAGCATGGGCCTGCAAACCAAAGGATTGCAGTTCGATTCCCAGCCACGGCACATCCTGGGTTTCAGGCCAGATCCCAGCAGGGGCCAGGTCCCAGCAGGGGACACATAAGAAGCAACCATACACTGATATTTCTCTCCCTCTCTCCTTCCCTTCCCTTCTAAAGATAAATAAATAATTTTAAAAAGAAGTAATTACAATTCTTAAAAAAAAAACAACCACTATATTTTATGTCCTTCCCCTTCTTACTACAAAAATTCATTATTTCAAAAAAGATGCATTTATGAAGAAATGTTTGTTATAATTAAAACTTTTAAATCAAGCTATTTTTTTGTTTAACTTAAAAATACATATATGAAAATGTACCCTTTGCAAGAAACATTTATTAAGCACATTTGATGCAGATCCTGGCTGGCAGGATCCATGTGTTGTGGCTACAATAAACAAATTCACATGGACTACAGAAAGTCCTGTGGAGAAGGCACAGCCACTCTCTAAGTGAGAGAGAGGACCCTGACCCCTGCCTGGACCAGCTTTTGTTGCTTCTCTGGGTACATTACATGGAGGGTGGTCCTCATTTACTATGCACAGGTTTGCTGTAGGTGATTACCTTTTACAGATAACAAAGGAAAGAATGTGGCTAATTACTTCAAAGAGAAGGCTATTGTAGACCAAGGGGAAAAGTGGTTGAACCAGTTATACTCCATACTTGGAAGGTTTAGCACAGATCTTAGGAAGTTACAGTGAGCACTTTTTGCCTCAATTCAGGGTGAGGGAGTTTTAGCAAAAGCAAGTCTCATAGCAACCTAGGTACAATGCAGGCCTGATTCCTCACGGGAGAACCTATCTGTGGGCCTGGCTCCTGTGTGCTGGGGACCTCGCTCTCCACTGGCGTGGGGGCTGGGCTACATTCCCATGCCACCTGAACTGGTTCCCTACACACATGAGTATGATTGCCTATGGGGGAGGGGAGAGGAATAGATTGAAAGGATAAAAAAATATAAACAGAGCAGGAGAGGGATCTTATACAGGCTGGGGTGAGAATATGACAGACAGAATTGTAGGCTCCTGTGACTCCAGGCTTTATTTGAAGAGTCTAGCTTCTCCCTAGCATGGGTGCCCAGCTTGGAGAGTTCCCAACCAAACAAGTTGCTGGAGTGCTTGGCCTGTAGAACCACAGGCAGAGAACCTCATCCAGATAAGCAGGTGGTTAAACATCAGAGGTAGGAGAGGGACTAAAGCCAAAACTGTCACACCCTGCAACACCTGGCCTCAGTTTCCCTCTATGGGCCTCAGTTTACTCATTTGTAAACTGCAGCTTACAAGATCCTGTTACAGAAGCTTAGGGAACAAAGAATGCTTCTCTGAGGGCCTTCTTTCATCAAAAGGACACAGAGGTTGGGGTCAGTCATTACAGAGGCCAGTCTCTGGGCCGGGCTGACACTGGGAGCTTCCACCCAAGCCTTGGCCCGTGTCTCCTGGAACCTGGGATCTGGCTGTGGCCCAGGGAGGGGGCTGGAGTGATAGCCCCTCACCCCACCTGTCCCTCAAGGCTCTGACTGCTCATTGTCACTGCATAAGAGACCTCACCCTTACTGCCCCCACCCCTCTCCCAACAAAATGACCCCAGCCTGGCCCCCTGCCCTGGGTCCCAGTGCATAAGGAGACCCTGGGGGCTGAGCGCCACAGAGGCCAGTCCAGGGCTCGCTCCACTCAAGCTCTGTCACTGCCCTGTCTCCGACCAAGGCCAAGAAGACCTCCAACGTGTCCATGTGGGCAAGATCTTGGCACAGGCGGACGCCTCTCCAGCACTGAGGCCCTGGAGAGATGAGTGCCAGACAGGCTGCGATGGGGCCAGGTAGGTGACAATTCAGGCTTAGCGAGGGCAGGGGACAGTGAGGAGGAGCCAGTGAGTTGGGGAAGATGAATGGCACAGACATCTAACTGACCCTGGGCCTATGAGGCCTGAGTAGGAGCAGGCACTGGGAAGGACAAGGGCAGTTTCTCCCAAGGCCCGAAGTGCCTTCTGAGACAGTCAGATCGCTACCAGCACTGATGCTGGGATCTCTGACCCTGAAGAAATCGACATCAAAAGAGATTTCTCTAAAGAATCTTCCAGGGATGCCTCTGGAGAGAGCTCTATTTCTGGCAGAAGGTGAAGTGGGGAGCCAGTTAAGGGATGGAAGGAGGCCCCTCTGGCCAGGGGAGGTGACAGGGGCAGGATGCCAAGGCGGTGGGTGTTGAAGAGCTGGTGTGCAGGCCCAGTGGGAAGCAGGGAAGCAGGGAGAAAAGCCAGGAGTCACTGTGGTCTGGAATAGGCAGGGTTAGGTTGGTTGGGGTGCTGGGGGCGTCTCTAGCTGAGGAGGGTGGAGCTCAGTGGGAAAGTTCAGACTGGGAGAGAAATGGGGTCTGCCAAGTTTGCAGGGCCTGTGACAGGGTTGAGTGTGGGTCCTCAAGCCCTGAGAGGAGGAGGGCGATGGCGAGGCGGTGGACAGACTGCTCTCTTCCGGAGCTCGCGCTCCGCCCCCCCCACCCCCACCCCGCAGGCTCTTCACCAGCTTCCCCCAGACCAAGACCTACTTCCCGCACTTCGACCTGCACCCCGGCTCTGCGCATCTGCACGCGCACGGCTCCAAGGTGGTGGCCGCCGTGGACGACGCGGTCAAGAACATCGACAACATCGCCCGTAGGGCAGAGGCGGGGCCACAGTGCGACCAGGGCAGTGTCCGCGACAGGGGCGCCGTCCCCACCCGAAGAGCGCCCAGCCCCACTCCGGCCCCGCCCTGAGCAGCCCTCCCGCCCCCCAGCTCCTGTCCCACTGTCTGCTGGTCACGGTGGCCTCGCACTTCCCCGCGGACTTCACGGCCGACGCCCACGCCGCTTGGGACAAGTTCCTGTCCGTCGTGTCCAGCGTCCTGACCGAGAAGTACCGCTGAGCGCCGTCCAGGGACCGCAGAGGACAGGCCTCGAACTCTCTTCTACCTCTGAATGCTCCCTAAGTTCCTCCCGCTGCTCCCCCAATAAATGGGTGGGGGTGGAGTGAGCTGGACGCGTCCTCAGTACTGAGGGAAAGGAACAAAGTGAGGGTCGTGTCACTCCCGTCCTGGAGGCCACGCCCAGGTGTCTTTGAGGTGGTCCTTGCGTCTTCGAAGCCCAGGGAAGCAGCCCGGAGAGAGCAGAGCGACAGCAGGCACATCCGTGCTGTTTCCTCTGGGTGCATTTACACCTCAAACCTTCTTTACAAATCGCTCAAAGACTGTCGCCTCGCGGAGCGCGTTGACTGCGTGTGGGGACTCAGGGGACTTTTCTTCAAAGCCTGGTGTCATAGTTCCCGCGCTGCGGGAGTGTCTGATGCAGTTACCTTCCTGGCCCCTCGCGGGGAAAGGGGGTTCCATGCCCCCACTCTTTCTCCTGATACTTCCATGGGCTCCCTCCTGGCGCGCAAAGCTGTAACTCTGCCCGCAGGGAAGTCATTGCAGCTCCAGCTAAAGTCCACCACAAAGATACCCACGCACGGCGGCGTCAGTGCCAGTGACCCAGGGACGCCCGAGGCCGTGGTCTGCGAGGCCCTGGGAAACTGGCCCAGCGACGATTCCCGGTGCTGGCAGAGGTTGCCCGCGTTCCCGCCGCGCCGCTGCAGATAAAAGCGGGGCGCACGCAGGGAGGTTGTGGTGGGCGGGTGCTGTTATAAGGAGGCCTGGCGGGAGGCCGGAGACTCGCAGAGCACGCCACGCCCGCGCCATGCTCACCGCTCAGGAGCGCGCCCACGTCGCGCAGGTCTGGGACCTGATCGCAGGACACGAGGCGTACTTCGGGGCGGAGCTGCTGCTCAGGTGGGTAGAGGGTAAGTCTCCACAATCTCGGGGAGGTGGAGAGAAGGGTGTGAGGCCTAAGACGGGGGCGGGGGACGGCACAGGAGAGACAGGGGTTTCCAGGGGTCTGGGCGGTGCAGGAGCTGGAGGATCCCACCCTGCCCGCCCTCCCCACTAACCTGCTCCCGCAGGCTCTTCACTGTGTACCCCAGCACCAAGGTCTACTTCAAGCACCTGGGCGCCTTCCCGGACGAGGTGCACCTGCTGAGCCACGGACAGCGGGTGCTGGAGGCAGTGGGCGTTGCCGTGCAGCACGTGGACAACCTGCGCGCGGCCCTGAGCCCTCTCGCGGACCTGCACGCGCACGTGCTACGCGTGGACCCTGCCAACTTCCCAGTGAGACAGCCTTGGCCGCAGTGGGGTTCGCGCGAAGTCGGAGGATGGGGCTTCCTGGAGAAACTGGAGGAGACAGATACCCTCTAACCCGCCCCTTCTCCTGCAGCTGCTGATCCAGTGTTTCCAAGTGGTGCTGGCCTCCCACCTACAGAACGAGTTCACCGTCGAGATGCAGGCGGCGTGGGACAAGTTCCTGACGGGCGTGGCCATAGTGCTGACCGAGAAGTACCGCTGAGTCGCGTGCCCACCTGTCAATAAACGGGCCTCGAAGGCGGAGACCTGAGCATGTGCAGTCTTTGGGTCCTGGGGCGGACATCACTGTTGCTGGGCAGGGAAGCTCTGGGTCCCCCCGGAGCCACCTGGAATCTTAGGGAAGGACCCCAAAACTTTGCGGATAAGGAATTGGGGCCCAGGAGCGGACCCTGGGGGCCCTCCAGCCTTGGAATGAGGACGGTTCCCAGGCTGACAATCCCGAGTCTGGACAGGACACCCGAAGTCCTGAACAAAACAGTCGCCCTCCTGTGGCGGGGGCGTGTGGTGGGACAGAGTGGGCGCTTGAATGGGCGGGGGGAGGCGTTTAAGGGTCTCAGTGCGCATCGGGCGCTCCCGCAGCGTTCCGCAAAGCGCGTCGCGTTCACTCCTTTATTCTCCCCGCATCCCTTCCTCACGCCGGCAGCGGCGAGTGTGAATCTCCGCCTTCCCTGCAGACAGACGCTGGCACCCAGGCCCGGCGGCCGAGTTCCTGGGCTGAGGTCTCTCAGAGATCTGGGTCCAGGGCTCCCTGGCCCCTCCTCTGTGTTCCCTTCCCACTTCCTCCCACGCCCCCCCTCCCCCGCTCAACCTGCCGCAACCTGTGGCCCTGGGGAGGGGTACGGTGGAACTGCTAGATGGCCACAGTCTGGCAGACAGAGCAGGTTTCCACCCGGTTCACACCAACAAGCTATATGATCTGAGCCTAACGCATCGATGAGGGGGAAAAAACCTACCTCGCTGGGCTTTGCAATAATTTCTGGGATCATAATGCTGGGTGGGTGTCTGGCAAGACCATGGCCGCCCAACCCCCATCCCACACCCCAGCCCCAGACGCTGCGCCTCAGTGTCTGCGCGTTTTCTGGCCAAAGCCGACCTCCCCGCCCCCCACCCCCAATCTCTTCCCTCTGCTGCTTTGGGCAGAAACCTTAGCGCTTCACCCACAACCTTTGCAGACCAGGGTACAGAGGCCGGGAGAGGATTCCGGTGCTCTGCAGACTCAACAAGGCGGTTGGCGCAGCGACCCGTCCCAGTCTGCTGGGGTGCGGGGTGCGGGGAAGGGCTGAGCCCGGCAGAGGGCTGGGCCCCCAAGTGTGAGAAGGATGCTGCCGGCTAGTCCTGACGCTGGCGCGGCAGGGTTCCCCGTGCTGACCTTAATGTATTGGGAGCAGGAGCGTGTGGAGGATTCACCCCGTAATACCCGTCGTCCTCGTTGTTGACATGAACAACTGGTACAAGGCAAAGTGCAGAGCAAAAGCGACGTGTTTCACTTCGGAAACAATGTGCACCCACCCTGACAGGCAAATACAGATTGCTTTCCCCGGCTCCGGCCACACCCGGGTGCAAGGGGGATTTGGGTGGCCCAGGCACCTGTGTGAGAACCCCAGAACCGCAGCACCTGCAAAGAGGGGACCCTCGAGGGCCGGACCTCGGCCTGCGCGTGACCCAGAGTGCGGGTGCGCCGGGGAAGCCCACCGCCCCTTCTCTCCAGAGGGCTCCGGGGCCTCGCTCCCTGGAACCGCGCCAGCCAATGAGCGCAGCCCCGGCGGGCGTGCCCCTCGCGCTCCAGACATAAAGGCCCCGCACACTCCCCGCCCGCCACCCTTCTGGTCCTTACACAGACTCAGAAAGAACCAACCATGGTGCTGTCCGCCGCCGACAAAGGCAACGTCAAGGCCGCCTGGGATAAGGTTGGCGGCCAGGCCGGCGACTATGGCGCAGAGGCCCTGGAGAGGTGAGGACCTCCCTTTCCCTGTTGGTGCTGGACCCCGGGCCTCCACACCGGCCCGAGGGCCTGCGGGCAGCGTCTCGGGAGGCTCCGACCTGGCTGGCGCCCGCACCCCCAGATCTCAGGGGACCTCGGGGTCTAGAACGCGGACCTGCCCCAACAGGCCAGCCAGCACCTGGCTCACGCCCCCGCCCTGGACCCACCACCCCCACCCTCAAGCCCGCCTCCCACCCTCTTCTGCCCGCAGGATGTTCCTGAGCTTCCCCACCACCAAGACCTACTTCCCTCACTTCGACCTGGCCCACGGCTCCGCTCAGGTCAAGGGCCACGGCAAGAAGGTGGCCGACGCCCTGACCACCGCCGTGGGCCACCTGGACGACCTGCCTGGCGCCCTGTCGGCTCTGAGCGACCTGCACGCCTACAAGCTGCGTGTGGACCCCGTCAACTTCAAGGTGAGCGCGGCGGCGGCAGGGCGGCAGGGCGGCGGGGCGGCGGAGGTCTGGGCAGAGGGCTCCCGCGGGTTCCAGGAGGTGGAGCGCGCCGGAGGCCGCGCCCCGAAGCCCCCTGACGCCGCCTCTCTTCGCAGCTCCTGAGCCACTGCCTGCTGGTGACTCTGGCCAGCCACCTCCCCTCTGATTTCACCCCTGCCGTTCACGCCTCCCTGGACAAGTTCCTGGCCTCCGTGAGCACCGTGCTGACCTCCAAATACCGTTAAGCTGGAGCCGCGGCTATCCCTGCCCTGGGTCTGGGCCCCTTTGCGCTCTGCGCACCGGCACTTCCTGACCTTTGAATAAAGTCTGAGTGGGCTGCAACCTGCGTGGCCTCGGTTCTCTGTGCCCCCGAACGTGCCAAGGGTGGGGGTGGTTCTCCTTACCTCGGACCGAAGGCGTCTGCGCAGCGGGCGAAGAGAGGGCAGGAGAGGGAGAAGGGAAGAGATTTAAGATGGACGCTTCCAGGAATACGCTGAACCAGGCTTCTGTCCTAGGAGGGGCCAGACTCCCAAGGGCTGGTCTCTGGGGCAGAGGTGGGGGGTATTAAGAGTCACCAGCTGCCCTGGCCCATGTGGCTCGGTTGGTTGGAACGTCATCCTATAGGAAAGGCTGCGGATTTGACTCCCAGTCAGGGCACCTACCCAGGTTGCAGGTTCAATTTCCAGTTGGCGCAGGTACAGATATTTCTCTCTCTCTCCTCCCTTCCACCCCCGTCTTTACCTCCCTCCGTCGCTCCCTTCCTTTCTCTCTAGAAGCAAGAATAAAAAAAGGTCCTCAGGTGAGGATTTCAAAGAGAGAGAGAGAGAGAGAGAGTTGCCACCCACTCTGAAGTCTCCCTGACTGGTCACTGTTAAACAAACAATCTAGATCAAAATAAAACCAAGCAATCAACTCGCCCAAATATGCCACTCCTGGTACAAAGGCAGGTGCTAGACAATTTTTATGAGGTTCCCACCTCCTCCCTACTAGAGAGAAGGTGAGATGGAACGGGGATCAGAGTCACAAAGTCACAAATAAAGTCCTCCGCAAAGTCACAAATAAAGCTCTGCAGGCAGGTGGGCAGGGCGGTCTGGGAAGAGGGGCGTGAGCTGCCTGCAGCCCTGGGTGCCCTGGGGGGAGCACTTTACCAAAGCACCCTACTCGCTTGTTTGGCATTTCATGAGGCACATTAATAGCTCGTTGTGTTCCCAGCCGTGTCCCTCAGCTCAATGCCCCTCTGTTGCCAGAGGTTCCTGGGGTTTCCCAGCTGATCTGCGGAGCTGTGAGGAATATAGTTGAATAGGCCCCTGTCCCAGGTGCTGAAGCTGTGGACTCGACACTGGAATCCCCCGCACCCCACCTGGCTCTGCAGCCACCTGTGTGGGTGGGGGACAGCATCGGTGCCCTGGCCCAACCCCAATCTCTAGGGTGACACACAGCACTGGGTAAAAGGTTTGGGAGGGTGGCAAGCCCTTTGCTCACCACTTTGCTTTTGGACATGGGACCCGGAAGATCTAGGGAGTTGCACCCTCCTCTCCATCATGCACTTGTCCTCTGCCTCACAGTCCAACTTCATTTTTGTTTAAAAGGAGAAAAACAGTAAGTTAAAATCCACTTATACTTTCACACACACACGCACACATGCCCTTTTTGTGTTACTCAAAGTAGGGAGGCAGTGTCCTTTTGCCCTGCCCTCCCACCCCTGCAGAAGTTCAAGTCAAGAGTTTGGAACTAAGCCCAGTGGCCTCTATCCTGTGCTGAGGGGACATGGGTACATCCACAGCTACACATTTTTGTCAGGAATATCATCATAACACAAATATTTGTCTGCAGTCTGCTCTTCTCATTCAACTGACTCTTCTCTACATCTCTTTTGGCCAGTTTATTCCAATCTCAGTTTCGTCAATGTATTAGTCATTTCTATATTTTTGTTAATTTCCTTTGCCAATTTTTTACTTAAGCCACTTGCATTTTTCCTTATATATATGTGGGAGTTCTTCCTATATGACAGATGTAAGCCATTGACTGAGATATGTTCTCTAAGTCTTGCCTTAAAAGGACTTGGGGGCAGGAGGATTGCAGCAAGGTGCAGAAGGAGGGGTTTGTCCCAGGCCTGGGGAGTGGAATTTGCTGCTTCTAAGCCCCCAATGTCTTATCCTTTTTATTTTTCAGAGCCGGGACTGGGCCTGAGGCTGGGAACAAAATCAGGAAGAATGAAGAATCGTAAGAAGGAGAAGTGGAACGAAGTGGGGGGAAGGTCCAGAAAGAACAAAATGAGAAGAGCAGACACAGAGGAGCGAGCCCAAGGGAGACTTGCTGAGGCTTGTCTGAGCTGCTTTCTTTTCTGCCCACGTCAGTTCCACCTGGACATGCAGTGCAAGTCTTCAGTAAAGCTGCTAGGAGAGGAATGCGGACAGAGGGGCGGGCGTATCAATGACTTCCCTTTTCATTCAGTGCTGATGTTAAACCTCATCAGTAATGCCCTACCGCCAACCAGACCAAGGGGCCATCACTTGTCACCAGTAAAGGAACTGTACCAGCCAGAATTCCTGCCGCTTCTCACTGTTTCACTGGAAGTCCCTCTCTTCCCCCATCCTGCAGGGTCTGGCCTGCTTCTTCACACCCACATCTCCCTCATCTGTTCTGTAGCCACAGAGGCTCTCTCTCCCCCAGCCCCCGACAAGCCAAGTGGGGGCTCCCTCCCACCCTGCTCCACCTAATACTCATTCTCCAGTCTCACCTCCTCAGGGAAGCCTACCATGATTGTCAGACTAACCCTAATATCCTTGAATGTCTCATCCGCTCCCTTCATGTTTTCTTAGGGCTCTTTAATGAGGTTTGAAACTATATGACTTGTGATGAATTTATGACTGTCTCTGTCCCTAACCAGGTTGAAAGCTCAGCTCTTGTTAAACAATTGCTTTATTTACTAATTCAATCACTATTTACCTATCGAGTCTTGCCTCAGGCAAAATTTGAGGAACTGACGGGGTGGGGGGGGGAGGTATCATTGTGAATCAGGACCATTTGTTCAGTCAGGGATCCTGAACAGGGGAGGCCACCTTGATGAATTCCCAAGATGAGGCTGCAGAGCCACCAACCACCATGGGAGAAGAAGCTCAAGCCAGGAGCCTCCCATACCAGTCATACGGAGCACATCCCTCAGTATTTGTTCCCCCCTCCCCTGCAACGGGTGCTCAATCAAATGTAGTAATTATGTGTGGGGTGGGGGCAAGGGGCTGGAAGAATCAAGACGGAAGGGAAGCAGGAGGGAATCCAGGCAGGAAATTTTTTTTTAGATCTTATTTATTTATTTTTAGAAAGGGGGAGGGAAGGAGAAAGAGGAGAGAAACATCAGTGTGTGGTTGTTCTCATGCGCCCCCAGCTGGGGACTTGGTCCGCAATGCAGGCATGTGCCCTGACTGGGAATCCAACGGGCCACCCTTTGGTTCGCAGGCCAGTGCTCAATCCACTGAGCCAACCAGCCAGGGAAAGGCAAGAATTTTTGACATGTGAACAAAGACCTCCTTGTGCACACACCTATCACTCTCTGGCCTGGACTAGGTGAGGTCTTTCTTCCTTCCTCCCCACTCAATAGCCCATTCACTCCTTGATTCTGCCAAAATTAAACATGTCCAGTGTGTACCAAGCCTAGGTCCAGGGCAGGTCCTCAGGAAAGAGCAACCTGGGTCTAGGGAAATTCAGAGACCCTAAAGAGTGTCAAGAGCTTAATGCGGTGGAAGAGTCAGCAACCACCCACCTCTAGTAACCGACCTCCAGCAACCAGGGCAAAGATATCACTCCTAGAGGAGGTGGATGCAGCGGTCAAGAAGCAGCCACCGGGAGAAAGAAATATCTCGGCCAGGGGACACTGGGTTCCTCCCCAAAGTACAGGCCGCCCCTCCACCTCTCTTGCCAGGCGCCCCCTGCTGTGCAAGCCCAGGAGTTTTCTGGGCTCTGAGCCAGCCAATGAGCGCAGCCCCGGCGGGCGTGCCCCTCGCGCTCCAGACATAAAGGCCCCGCACACTCCCCGCCCGCCACCCTTCTGGTCCCTACACAGACTCAGAAAGAACCGACCATGGTGCTGTCCGCCGCTGACAAAGGCAACGTCAAGGCCGCCTGGGATAAGGTTGGCGGCCAGGCCGGCGACTATGGCGCAGAGGCCCTGGAGAGGTGAGGACCTCCCTTTCCCTGTTGGTGCTGGACCCCGGGCCTCCACACCGGCCCGAGGGCCTGCGGGCAGCGTCTCGGGAGGCTCCGACCTGGCTGGCGCCCGCACCCCCAGATCTCAGGGGACCTCGGGGTCTAGAACGCGGACCTGCCCCAACAGGCCAGCCAGCACCTGGCTCACGCCCCCGCCCTGGACCCACCACCCCCACCCTCAAGCCCGCCTCCCACCCTCTTCTGCCCGCAGGATGTTCCTGAGCTTCCCCACCACCAAGACCTACTTCCCTCACTTCGACCTGGCCCACGGCTCCGCTCAGGTCAAGGGCCACGGCAAGAAGGTGGCCGACGCCCTGACCACCGCCGTGGGCCACCTGGACGACCTGCCTGGCGCCCTGTCGGCTCTGAGCGACCTGCACGCCTACAAGCTGCGTGTGGACCCCGTCAACTTCAAGGTGAGCGCGGCGGCGGCAGGGCGGCAGGGCGGCGGGGCGGCGGAGGTCTGGGCAGAGGGCTCCCGCGGGTTCCAGGAGGTGGAGCGCGCCGGAGGCCGCGCCCCGAAGCCCCCTGACGCCGCCTCTCTTCGCAGCTCCTGAGCCACTGCCTGCTGGTGACTCTGGCCAGCCACCTCCCCTCTGATTTCACCCCTGCCGTTCACGCCTCCCTGGACAAGTTCCTGGCCTCCGTGAGCACCGTGCTGACCTCCAAATACCGTTAAGCTGGAGCCGCGGCTATCCCTGCCCTGGGTCTGGGCCCCTTTGCGCTCTGCGCACCGGCACTTCCTGACCTTTGAATAAAGTCTGAGTGGGCTGCAACCTGCGTGGCCTCGGTTCTCTGTGCCCTCGAACGTGCCAAGGGTGGGGGTGGTTCTCCTTACCTCGGACCGAAGGCGTCTGCGCAGCGGGCGAAGAGAGGGCAGGGGATAAAAGGCAGAGGAAGGAGTGGCTGCAGTCCTGTCACTGCCTGATTCACTGGGCAGCCCCCACCACCCTCACCCTGCAGTGCTTTTGCTGCCTACATTCATTCCCTGTTCTACAATTCATTCTCAAGGTTTTGCTATTCCACACAAGTTTACTTAAATAATGGAATCACCTTCCATCTTTCCAGTCTATGGCATTGACACTCAGAGCGGGGGGCCTCCAGTCTAGTAACTCTGAGCTCTCCAAAGGCTCCTCCCAGAGTTGGACAGTGGGGCAGCCAGATGGGTCACACTCAGAGCTGAACGGTATGCTCCGTTCTCCACCGAGTGCCTCCCAAACACACACAGAGTCTACATAAAATTGCAGATGCCAGGCAATTTGCTGGAGGCACCCCTTTCACCTGGGGCCATCTCCAGGAGGCTCACCTGTAGACACTTCATCTCGGAGCCATTACAAGGCTTGGAGACCAAGTTTTGGGGCCCAGCTCAACATCCATGGCAGGCTGGCACCTCTCATTCACCCCAGTGCTGCAAGGGAGAGGAAAGCTAGGGCCAAAGAGCTTGCGCCCCAATGTGCTTCCTGCCCACAGAGCAGCCCCCAGTACTGCAGCTTCAGAGCAAGGCCTTAAGGTGTCAGGTCCTGGCCGCTGTCCACCTCCAAGCTTCTAGCTGGAGAGCAGTGTCCCTTCTCCCCTGGGTTCAAGAGTGGTCCTTGGAAAATGAGTTAGCAGATCTCCTGCCTCAGTTTGTGATGCTTTCAGCACAGCTCACGGAAGAGTCTAAGCTCTCAGTAAGAGGCAGTCTTCCTCATTGTATTAGGAAAAGTGAGGGAACAAGCCAAGTGTCCATCAACTGATGAAGAGACCAACAAAATGTGGTTCATCCATACAATGGAATTTTGTTCAGCCATAAAAGCGGGTGGAGCACTGATACAAGGTGTATAAACCTTGAAAATGTGCTCGGTGAAAGAAGCCAGACACAAAAAGACCATATACTGCATCATTCTATTCACATGAAGCATCCAGAACAGGCAAATCCAGCATCAGAGAGCACTCTGCTAGCCGCCCAGGGCCAGAGGAGAAGGGCTGCAGAATGACTGGTAATGGATACAGAGCTTCTCTTTGGGATGATGGAAAAGTTCTGGAACTGAATAGTGATGACAGTTGCACAACAGCGGGAATGTAATTAAGGACACCAAATTGTACACTCAATTTTTTAGAGAGAGAAGAAGAGAAACATTGACCTGGGGGGCGACTGAGGGCAGAACCTGCAATTCAGTCACGTGTCCTGCCCGGGAATCCCACCCACAACCTTTTGCTTTGCAGGCTGACCAACCAACTGAGCCACACCAGCCAGGGCCTGAATGGTAGGCATTAAAATGACTAAGATGGCACATTTTATGATATAGGAGTTTTACCGCCACCACGACCACCACAAAAAGAGTGGTGCCTGGCACAGAATAAGTGCTGCATAGGTATTAGCTATTATTACCACATACCCTAGGCACTCAACAAATGTCCACTGTTTTTGAAAGAAACATCTGCTATGAGCAAGGAACTTAGCATTTCCCATCCATTTAATTCTCACAACAACCTCTGGAAGAATAAATTGTATTCATTTTACACAACGAATAAAATAGACTCAGGGAGGTAGGTGTCAGACTTGGGAAGGAAGTAGAATAAACTGACAAGCAATGCCAAAATCCATGCTAAAATTTAGTGTTACCTAGTAATTATATGTATTAAGTATTGGCTTCCACAGAATAAATACTACAAAAACGGGGTTCTTGGAGTCTGGCGCAATTGGGAAGGTCCCAGGTCAGAGCAGATGGGGATTGGATGCTCCCGGGCCCCTAGAGACAAGACTGCGACATGGCACCCCCCAGAGGCCACGGGAACGGCCGGCCGACTGGCGCCAGCGCAGTTCACACTAAGCTCACACCGCGGGCCTGAGGTTCCAAGATGGTCCTGTCCTCAGCGGAGAGGGACGCACTGTGTGCGTTGTGGAGAAAGCTGGGTAACAACGTGGGCATCTACACCACGGAGGCCCTGGAGAGGTGCGGAGAGGCCCTAGCGCCCTCTAGGATCACCTGCCTTCCTGACCGCCGGGGGAACGGCTTCCCCACCCCTCACGGTGCCCTCCTCCTCAAGCCCCTACCCCACCCAGGGTAGCACCTCACTCGCTGTTCCTCCCAAAGGACCTTCCTGGCCTTCCCCTCCACCAAGACCTACTTCCTCCACCTGGACCTGAGCCCCGGCTCCGCCCAGGTCAAAGCCCACGGCCAGAAGGTGGCCGATGCGTTGTCCCTGGCTGTGGACCACCTGGACGACCTGCCTGGCGCCCTGTCAGCTCTGAGCGACCTGCACGCGCACAAGCTGCAAGTGGACCCGGTCAACTTCAAGGTGAGGGCTGGACCCTCTCAGTGTGGGCGGGGGGCGCTCCCACAAGGGAATAGTATGGGAGGACAGATGGACCTCGGTGGGGACCACTCTGTCCCTCCGCAGCTCCTGGGCCACTGCCTGCTGGTGACCCTCGCCCGGCACTACCCTGGAGACTTCAGCCCCGCCCTGCAGGCTTCGCTGGACAAATTTCTGAGCCACGTGATTTTGGCCCTGACCTCCAACTATCGCTAAACTAGGGGCGAATGATCGCGGGATTCCCAGAGTTCCTTTTCTGCGACCATCTGGTCTCAGTAAAGTTCCGGAAAAAAAGCCTCAGGCGCGTGCGTGCATATGTTCCTTGGGGCGTGCGAGCAAAAGGGTCCTGAAGGGATTCGCGACAAGTGCTGCCCTCCCACCAAAGGAAGGGTGGGGATCTGGAGGGACTTGAGCTGCACATCCCGCCAAGGTAAGATCTGGGTGTGCCCCTGGCCCGCTTCCACTAGACGCCCTGGGTGGCCCAGGGGAGATTCAAGTTGCCCTATCCTCCGCGGCCAGTGTTGTTTGGCGCAACAGGTCCCAAGTGCGTATCTTAAACCCCGACCCACCACACCCTTGGCTGCAGCCACTTGGAGACCCACGCCGGAGGCTTCAGATCCTCGGGAGTTGGGTAAAATGTCGGGGGTCATAGGCTTGCCCTAGCTGACGAGGCCCGGCCCTCCCCAGAACTGTTCTCTTAGGCTGACTCCACAAATCTAGGTATTCGGGGACCTGGTCCCTCACCCATCTAGAACTGACGGCAGGGTGCTAGGTAGCGGGGTACAGCCCTTAAGAAAGTTAGGGAATGGCGCCCCCTGTCGGTGCAGATAGAACTTGCCAGAGCCCAACCTGAACAACAGTACAATGGCTCTAGTAGAGTATTGGGGATTTGGGGGATCTAGGAGGCTTGGGTTGAAACCCCCACTTGCCAGATTCTGGACCTGGTGGAAGCAGGTGCGTCCTGCCCCAGCACCCAGTCATGTAGTGGGCCAGGGAGCTGGTCCAGAGTCCTAGCTACAGCCACATCTCTAAGGAGACAGAAGTCAAAACAGGTTTCTTTAAAAAATGTTTCCTCATAAAATCAATTATGATCCTTGTAGAAACTTCGGGAAATGCAGTAAGTACTTCACTTACTGTCTCTTCTTATGTATCCCAGTGGGTCCAGCACACCCATGATTCCTCCAATTCCCACCTGACACGTGGGGAAACTAGATGTGAACAAATGGAGGGCATGGCAGTTTAGATTCAGGAGCACACATGTGACACACAGACCACACACTAACACAGATGCAAAAACACACACTGGCAAAAACAGCCCCACCCAGAAGTGGAACAAGATAACATTTAATGCACAGCCTTCCAGGTAGTTCCAGGGACATCTAGAGATGTTTTTCTTAAGAAATGGTACCCTCAAAGTGACATTGGAAAAAAGTGGGGACATTGAACTACCTAAAGAGAAAAATACTTGGTATAGGGAGGAAAAGAAAACACAAGCAAATATGAAAAAGAAACTGGAGAAAAGTATCTGCCACAAACAGCAAAGGGTGGTTATTACTAGATCTCCAAATTTTTCCCTCTCCTCCACCTTTTTCTTTTTGAAGTCAGTCAACCCAGTAGAAAAACAAGCCACAGGAATAAGGCAATTCGCAGTGCACCAATGACCACAACATTTGCGATGATACACAAAGCCATGCAAATTAAAATGCTCATTAATGAGATACCTGTCATGAAAACATGTTTTAAAAGCAAGATCCAGTAAGACTCTTCTGGCGGAAGTGTAACTTAGTGTACAAGTTTTTCATTATAACTTTAATTCAGTTGTATACAGTTGTGGGCCAGCAAATATTTAGCAACTGGCACTCTGGAAAAAGGGGAAGGGGCTGGTCTGTAGCATTTTCCAATTTCCATGGTTTAAATATTGCCATCATGGCTAATTTCAAGCTATGTATGCTATCAATGAGTGGAAAATTAGGAGGGGATGCATCGTAGGTGCTATTATGTAGTATTTCTATGGTCCAGACACAAGAGATGTGAACTCAGATAACAGTAAGTATGGTAACATAATTAGGCAGTAATGAGTTTTCAGTATTTATTAGCTTTGTGTTTAACATGACCTATTTATTTGTATATTAACATAATTTAATTTGTAATAGTGGTTGTGTTCAACAGTCAGCTCTCGGACTTCCTGAAAATTTAACACAAGATAATCTCAGCAGGCCCTAGCACACCACTGGTCTTAGCCTTTACATTTAAAAAGTGCACATTCAGGTCTTCAGTCCTGCTTCAGGAATACATCCTACAGAAAAGAGTGGCACACATGTATAAACATGTTATGTACAGTGGTGTTCTCTACAGAACTGCTTATTAGAGTGGAGAAATAACAGGAGAAAAGTTCAATAAATTCTGGTAGAGTCTGATAAGAGACCACGGATTAGCCATGACAGAGGGTGAGATTGGCCTTTGGGCAGAGACGGGCAATGCCGACATCCACGTAACAGCATACTGCAAGTCGACGTGTGGAGGGTAAGTCCATTTTTATATTGATACAGTCATTACAAGAAAACTGATATACACTAAATGTTGGCAGCAGTTTTCCACAGGCATGGGACAAAAAGGACAAAGAAGGCAATTGTCAACAAACTTTATATGGTCCCAGAGAAGGAAAGTGGTTGGGAGTAGGAGTGATTTCTCACTTGTATGTACGTTTTTCATTTTCACAAATAATTTGCAGAATACCTTGCCCTGAATATCTGTAGCTCAATTTCTACACACACACATAATTATTTCCTTGGAGGAATTTTACAGAAGTGGCATTTCTGGGGTAATGTGTCTGCTGCTACAGCTTTTTGACAATATTACCAAAATTGCCTTCTTTACAGGCTCATCAGCAGGAGACAAGCGCCTGCACCCCCTCCACTGCTCTCCATGGTTGCTAGCTTCAATTTATGTATTTGATTGCTCATAAAGGTAAACATTGTTGGCTCCGTCACTACTCCTGGTGACTTGCCCATTTGTGTCCTTTGCCTACTGCCTACTGAGATGTTGTCAGATTAACCCACAGAAGCCCTTCTTTAAACCTGTAGAAAATCATCAGGCCATCTCATACATTGAAATTTCTTGCCCATTTTTTATATGTAGTTTTTGCGGAGTGGGAGACCCTTCTGCCAGATATACCCAGATCTTCCTTCATGCCTCTGATCCCTGTCACTTGCTCCAAGGCTATGCCTGATCTGAGCTGCCATTGTTAACCTGTTAAAGAGGCTACAGTTCTATTTATAAATAACTAAAATTGCTGAACAAAATGGTTTAACTCTTCTTAAAAGCATCAAAGGGCCAACGAGATATACACGGTCTGTCTGGAAAAAGTCCAGCCATTATCACTGTAATGAGAACAATTTGCATGACTTGAGTGTAACCCGGCAGCCAAGGCGAGTGGGCTGGAATGTGTATCCGTGAACAGTGACGACTTCATTGTACTCATCAGTGAGGGCAGGAGATACCACTGAGTGAGCATGTGTACTGTGTGGCTGTTGCATTCAAAGTGAGCAAGAATCTGCATCAGATTTTGCACTAAGTTTGAACATTCTTCCGGGGGTAACTGCTCGGATGATTCAGAAGGCCAAAGCTGTAGGCAATTAACAGGTAATTGGCAGCTTCATCACACAACATGCCCACTCACACATCACATCTCATGCAGTTTTTTGTGAAACATTAAATCACCTAGGTGACTCAGCCCCGCTACGGCCCAGACTTGGCGCGGTGCAACTTTTGGCTTTTCCCCAAACTAAAATCACCTTGGAAAAGGAAGTGATATGAGACTATCAATGAAATTCAGGAAAATACAACAGGGCAGCTTATGGTAATTCGGAGAACTGTGTAAGGTCCCAAGGTGCCAACTTTGAAGGAGACTGAGGCGTCATTGTCCTATGTACAATGTTTCTTATATCCTGTATCTTCTTCAATAAAAGTCTCTATTTTTCATATTACATGGCTGGATACCTTCTGAACAGACCTCATAAGGAATCTGCAGGCCAAAAACCAAGTAAAGGGAGAACCCAGAGAGGTGATCACAGCATTGAAACTACTTGGGCTGGGATTTTTGTCCTCATGGGCTCATGGGTTAAAAGGGCCAATATAAGGTGATGTGCCTAGCAGGTGACTTTTTTTTTAAGATTTATTTATTTTTACAGAGATGGGAAGGGAAGGAGAAAGAGGGAAAGAAACATTGATGGGAGACAGAAACACTAATTGGTTGCCTCTCGCACATGCCCTGACCAGGGACCGGACCCTCAACCCAAGTATGTTCCCTGACTGGGAATCAAACCGGTGACCTTTCTCTTTCTACTCATCACTCAAACAACTGAGCCACATCAGCCAGGACCCTGAGAAGTGATTCTTGCCCACAAAGCTGGGGCCACAGCCCTGGCTAGTTGTGGCTCAGTGGGCTGAGCACCTGCCTATGAATCAAAAGGTCACTGGTTCAATTCCCAGTCAGAGCACATGCCTGGGTTGCAGGCCGGGTCCTCAGTTGGGGGTATGTGAGAAGCAACCAACTGCTGTTTCAGATGTCAATCTTTCTCTCCCTGTCTTTCTTTCTCCCTCCCTTCTCTAAAGAAAAGAAAACAAGTAAATAAATTTTTTTTCCCCAAAAAGCAGTGGGTGAATTCCGTATTTTCCCCAAGCATGGAGTCTGGAAAAAATTTAAATAAAAAATAAATAAAACCATCTTGGTGTTCATCGGAAAAGGGAAAATAACTCACTGATAAATTGAAATCACATGCTGACACTCTGTAGCTTTCCAACGCAAGTTCATATCACCCGAGGGAGTGATCCCCTCGCCGAAATCTTTTTGGGCACCTGGCAGAGGCAAAGAAATCCTTTCTGTATAAAGCCACTTTATTACAGGCCACAGAGGGCAACAACTGGCAAATTCACTGAGCACATGGAAATAAAGCACCAGGAACGAAGTCCAGCAGATAAGAATCAGCAGAAGACTCACAAATGCGTCAGGCACTGAAGAAGTCAGATCCAATGACATGTGTGCTTTCTACGTCCATGAAATTGGAGATGAGATTTTAAGTACCTGCAGAGAGCTATAAAACATAAAAAGTGACATAACACATGAAAAAGAACTATTAGAAATGAAAAATATAGTCAACAAAAACTAAAATTCAATGGATAAGTGTAAGGAATAAAACATAATCATAGAATTAGTGATCTTAAAAATAGGTCACACTCAATTATCCAGACTGCAGCCCCTGTACATCTTTCAATTTTATGCCCCTGGTACCTCACTTGTCTCACCCAATCCTGAAACTACTAAGAATGTACTTGAGGCAGAAAGAAAGTGACCCTAAGGAGAAGACTGAGATGTCAAAGGGAATGAGTAACAAAGTGGTAAAAAACACTGACTGTGTGTAAAATAATATTGTCTATGGAGTCAAAGAGAAAAGAAAAACCTCTCCCTTGCTGGCTTTGAACATGCAAGCTGCCCTGTTGTGGGCTGTCCTATGGAGGCCTCTTGCTTGAGAGCAGGAAGGCAGCTGAACGCTGCCAACCACCACGTGAGCCTGGCCTTCTGCAGCACAGCTCAGGCGAGGCTCCGATTGCAGCCTGGGAGAGCCCTACTGAGACTTGACTCCTAATCCTGGGAAACCGAGATAGAGATTTTAAGCAGTTCAGTTTGCAGTAAATGATTGCTCTCACACGTCAGGAGAGCAATGCCCTCTGGACAGAGGGGTTGTGATGGGGGAGGATGAGGAATTCCCAAGAGCTAACAATGTTCTAGTGGGTCGGCCAAAAAGTTTGTTCGGTTTTAATACAAAACCAAAAGATACACTTTTTTTCTGCCAATAACTTCGCTGAACAACGTATTCGCTTTTTTGTTCCACTACCTTCTGTCATATCTCAAGCAACTTTATAATTCCTAAAACTTTGTATCTTTTTGAGCAAATAACCATTCCAAGGTGCCTTTTGCCGTTTTCCAGGAAATTGGCATTTTTTTCTATTAAGAGAATTTGTGAAGACAGAAGTAAATGAAAATCCAAACATGCACTGTCAGGTGACTACAGCAGATAAATGAGAACTTTTCCAGCCAAGCTGTTAACAGTTTTTGCCTGATCATGAAAAAAGTGTGAGCTTTAGTTATCCTGATGGAAAATTATACGTTTTCTGTTGACTAATTCCAGATGCTCCTCATCAAGTGCTGCTTTCAGTTGGTCTAATTGGGAGTACTTGCTGGAATTAATAGTTTGGTTTTCCAGAAGAAACTCATAATAGAGGATTCCCTTCCAATCCCACCACAGCCACACCACTGCCTTCTCTGGATGAAGACCAGCCTTCCGTGTGGTTGGTAGTGGTTCATTTTGCTTGCCCCGTGATGTCTTCCGTTCCACATTATTGTAAAGTACCCACTTTTCATGGCCCACCGTTTGTTTTAAAAATGGAACATTTTTGTAGACAACGATTGCATGTGGAAATAACTGTCAAGAAGGTGGTTTTTTGCTTAACTTATGTGGAACCCAAATATCAAAGCAATCAACAGGTTATAACCAAGTTGGTGCAAATGATTTTCTATGCTTGAGTTGGATATTTTGAGCATGCTGGCTATCCCCCATGTGGTATGTTAATTGTTCTCAATTAATGTCTCAATTTAATCACTAGCAACCATGGAGCATCGTCCAGAGAGAAATCTCCAGTACGAAACTTTGCAAACCACTTCTGACACATTCAATCAGTCACAGCACCTTATCTATACACTGCACAAATCTTTTTTTTTTTGCATTTCAATTGCATTTTTACCTTTCTTGAAATAATAAAGCATAATACACTGAAAATGTTATTTTCTTTCATCTTCAATATTAAAATGGCTACACAAAAATTCACCAATTTTGATATTTTTTAAAAGTGCATGCTGATATGAATGCTATTACAATACAATTTAACAAAAAATTTTTGAATGAAGTTTTAAGACAACTAAGCACTATTAAAGCCTTCTTATGGAAAAAAAAAACTCTTTGGCCAACCTAGTATTTCCTGACCCACGTGGACATATAGGGCTTGCCTTTGATTTTCTACCCTGTTTTGTGCTCTCTTCTGTAGGGAGAGGCTGGGCCAGCTCTGGGGCCAATTGACCTTAAGTCCTTGGGTGGGGGGTATGCAGAGTGTCCCAGAAGAGAGACCTGTGGTGGCAGAAGAACCAGGAAAATATAATACTGTGTTGTATTATACAGTATTACTATACATACAATATTGTATTCTACATTTCAAAGTTTACAGTAGAGCTTAAAAGTTGTCATCCCAAGAAAAACACTGCATGACTGTGTGGTGATAGATGTTAACTAGAACAACGTACAAGTGTCTAGGCATTACTCAGCTGTACACCCGAAACTAATATTATTTGTCAATTAAATCTCAAAAATAAATGCTGGCCCAGTCCTAGTGGGGAAGTCCCCTTACTACTGCTCCTCTCCTGCACTGTGGGGACAGGGAGCACAGGTACCCCTTGCAAACCTCCTTGGGATGGCAGCCCCACAAGTGGGGGAGTCAGGCAAGCAGGGTGACATGGGCAAAGGACAAAGGCAGGAGGGGAGTTGGCAGATGTAGGTGCCCCAGGAAAGAGGGAAGAGAAGGAGCAAGGGCAGAGAAAGTACTAGAGAGCTGTGGATGCTGGGGCTTTCCCTGTAGGCTTCTGGATACCCATGGGGAGGGAGGGCTGTCTCTGACTGACATTCCTGAGGGGATGGTCAGTGCTCGTCCAGGGGCTGGGCCAACGACCATGGACCACAGACCACGGATCACAGGCACCTGGTGGCAGACCTGGTGCAGACCTGTGAGCAGCCATCTGCTTTCTCACCTGCAACCCTGATCCCAGGTTTGGCACTTGGGGGATATGAGTGACATAAAGGGTGGCCTGGGGGCTGGTGCAGGGACTGTGTGGTGGACATAAAAAGGGTATGTTGTGTTGGCAATTGAGGACATGACGACAACCCTTTTTTCTTAAGGTCCAAACAGAATATTATCTTCTGCATGTGCCCTGATGGCTAAAGTTGAGAGCCCTGCTTCTGAGAAATCATAGAGCACCTCAGTTCACATCCTGGAAGAGATGCTATTCGGGATTTGAAGCTGGTGCCCCAATTCCTGGAACACTCTCTCCTGCTGCCCCAACATCACATACGAAGTGCCTGCCCCTGTCCCAGCTCTGTGTCCTTTGGACCAGCAGTATCAGCAACCCACTAATACGGCTACAGTGTGGGTGAACCTTGCAAACATTATGCTCAGTAAAAGCTCATCACAGGGCACTTATTGTGTGCTTCCACTTACATTAATGCCCATGAGGCAAGTCCAAAGAGACAGAAGTAGACTAAATGGTTGTGTAGGGTCGGGGGCAGGGGAAAAGGGAAGTGACTGTGAGTAGGTACAGGGTTTCCTTCTGGAGTGATGAAAATGTTCTAAAATTAAATAGTGGTAAACTAGCTAGCATGAATATACTACAATCCACTAAACTGTACATTTTAAAGTTATTAAAATGTTGAATTTTATGTTAAGTGACTATCTCAAAAAAAGTCTACCTGCAAAATAAAAGTGTATGTGCTTAGGCCCCTCCCCAGACCAACAGAAAGTCTGGGGGAAAGGGACAGCAACCTGCTTTAACCAGTCCTATAGGTAACTTGGACACCATCAAGTCCAAGAACCATTCAACTGACCCCATCTCCAAAGAGCCCAAACCCCACCGTGGCCACCATCCTCTTCGGGGGTGAGGCATTCCCGTGCATATCCCCTCTTCCACTTGCCTGAATCATGGCAGGGCACCACCTCCTCCAGGGAGCCCCCTCCAGCTCCCAGACTCAGCCAATAGCCAAGTGCAACCAGCTACTGAGCAGCCCTACTATCCCAGGGAGGGCACCCACATATCCACATGATGCAGTGAGAGCCCAGGGCCTGCTGGTGAAACCCAAAGAGTGCTCCCCAAGGCGAGGTTCTGCTCTGGACCCTGTGAGCTTCATGCAGGGTACAGGGCCAGCAGTTTCTCCAGCTCTCCCTTCCCCAGATTGTAGCCCTGGGCCTGGCTAGAGATTCCTAGTTTGAGTAGGCAGGGAAGCCCCAGAAAGAAAGCCCGTGCTGGCTGCAGGTCCTCTTCCCCAGGACAGCCTGGGGCCTCTATGCAGGGTTAGGAGACCCCACAACCCACACCAGGTGCTGATCACCATGTCTTCCTCCACTGGCCAGAAGCAAGGTGTGGGACAGTTCCCAAGAACACTGTAACTAGACTGGATCTAAGGGGCCTAGAATCTACCACGCCCTTGGGCTCCTGGAGGACCTGTACATGCTGGCTCTGCCCACTCATCTCTCCTCAGGGACTGCAATGACATCCCTGCCTCTTTAAACAAAACTTATTTCCTACATTTAAAAAATTTTAGAGGGCTGAAGATGGGCTGAGTCCCCTCTGGGCCCAAGCCTCCTCACTGTTTATGGGTGACCTCCCCCTGACACCCTCTGTGCCAATGCACCACTCCCCAGCTTCCATCTGGGAACTCCCCTCTGCTGGGACCCACGAGGGGAAATGGGGGTTGTGTCATTCTCAGGGCAGCCTGTGCCATGTTGTGCATTGCCCCCATCAGTCTGTCCTCCTCTGTGCCCACTTGGAGCACAGGACCACTGTCCACTGCTCTATCGGCACCCAGAGCTTGATGAGCACTTAGAGCCCATGAGACCCAAGGGCCTGGAGTGCGCCCTTGAGTGGTGGGTGAGTACCTTCAGCACTAGGGTTGGAAGAGCTGGACAATGAAGTCTAGATCCCATCCTCCCAGCACATGAGCTTGGATCCTGTGGTCCTGGATCAACTGGTCAGAGGCCAGTTGATCCAGGTTTGTCAGGAGCAAATGCAAACCCCCTCCAAGTCCTTCCAGGGCTGCCTTGACCTCAGACCCACCTGCCTTCTGGCTGGGACCCCAGGCCTATTTCTAAATCTAGTGACATCTCCGCCTTTCCAAAACCACCATCCCTCCATACAATATATGAATAGGTTTAGTGTTACTCAACTGTACTTACAAATAGTTAACATAGTAAGTTTTACATATATTTTACTATAATAAAAAGAAATCACAACCCTCCAGAGGACGAAAGAGATGGGAGGTACTTGTACGGTCCAGTACTCTGGCTGTGTACCCCATACCTGAGCTGCCGTGCCTTCTGCCAGCTTCAGTCCAGTTCCTGCCTGTCACAGGTCAGGTTGTACAAGTGAGTCAGGAACCCACAAATCCAGCCCTCATTCCCTTTGCCTCTACCCTCCTATCCCAGGACCACCCTTAACCCACTCACGGCTTTCCACAAATTTGTGTCCATTTCCTAAACCCAAAGAGGGCAGCATGCCTCTCTACCCAGCTAGCTTAGTGTCCACACTAAACAGAGTCTCCAGTGAGGCTGCTTTTGCTCTGGTCCAGCCTAAGCTGCAGGCAGGGGTAGTGCTCCTGGGTAGGAGACCCTCCTGACATTGCACTCCTTCCTCAGAGAAAAGCTGTGTCACAAGCCAGCAGGGCAGTTCACCTGTCTACACATCTTCTTCGAAGGGGACAGACCATGGCAGGGGAGCCCAGAGCAGGATCACCAGCCACATTATGGTGCTGGTAGCCGCAAGATCCAGACCCAGTGAGTGACCACTGAGCCAAGTAGTCTTTGCATAGAAGGTATGGAAAGGACTGTTTTCAAAACATGGCCATCAGAAGCTCCTTCCAAATATAAACCCAAAAACCTAACTAAAGTTAAAAAGGAAAAGAGCCCCCAGTTATCCTTCTAGAAGGGCTCATTCTGGTCTCACAATACAAAGAGCTGAGTAACAGTGGATGCCACCACTAACCCTCTTCGAGCGTGAGTCAAATCCTAACCCCATCCCCATCCTCTGAGGACCTCGTTACTGTCGTGTGGATACTGTCCAAGGGTCTTTCTCTCTTTGCACTAAGTTAACTCCAAAAGTGGAAACTGTCAGTAGCTCCCTGTAACTACAATCCCAGGTTGTAGCCATGCTAACAGCAGATCAGACAGATCCGAATTTCTAAAGAAATGTGTGCACATGGGGTACCCGCCCCCTCCTTAGTGGAGCCTGTGGTCTGCACTGAGGGGTATAGCCACTCTGCTCAGACATTGAAAAACAGAAGCAGCCAATCAGCAGACAGCTGGGCACACCAGGCTCCAGTCATTAGGAGAAGGGGAGATGGAGGGTGTTGGATGCCCAAAGTCAAAGAGCAGACCAACAATTAAGTCACAATATCTGAAGGTAAGCAAAGCTCACCGAGCATCCACCGAGTTACCACCACCTGTGGAAGGTGGAGGTGAAGTGTTCAGACCATAACAGGGACAGCAGAGACTCCACAGCAGCCGTCAGGAGGCAGTCCGTCAGATTTATTTATTCCTACTAAACGTAATCCAAGAACACAGGAGCAATTCTGTACATCTCTAGAAACTCACAGCTAGCTCCAAAACAATAGAAATTTTAAACTACAAAAAATGAGTTGTATTCAGCAAATATAAAGGGTAACTTCAAGCTGTGTTGAACGTTTATCAGACTATTTACAGTGCCTGGGCATGGACTCAGATCTCGCCAGCCTCCTTTTCCTCCAACGTCTTCCCGTTGGAGCTCTCAAGCCTCCAGTCAGTGGCCCGGCGCTCACTCCGCCCTCGCTCCCAGGACTCCTCCCTTGATGCCCGCTCTCTGGAGAACCTGGGAAAAGGGAACAGAGGCTCAGCAGTGGCTGACGTCTCCCTTCTGACTGTCTCCTCATGTGCCAACAACTTGGACCCTCAACACCAGGGAAGGCCAAAACCCACCTCACCTGGTAAGGCTCCCAGACAGTCCCAAGAGCAGCCAGGACTGCCATCTTGTGCCCAAACCACAGCCACTAAAAAGTGACATTTACAAAAATTTCTAGTAACAGCTGTTAATATTAATGAAGCAGGAAGGGGGTGTGCAGGGAGGGCAATGAAGGGGGGAAATGGGAAAACTGTAATGGTATAATCAATAAAATGTATTTAAAAAATAGTAATAATAAACTTAAAAAATATAAATAAATTTTAAAAAATCTCATGACAGGAAAAAAATATTAATGAAGCAAAAGAAAATACAACAAAAGTCCACACCTGGGATATGATCCACTATGTAAAAACACAGTGAAAAAAAGTGCTAACAGTAGTTATGAGTGTTGTTTTTTTTTCCCCCATAGAAAAACCACAAGGGAGGTAAATAGGGCCTGCTCAGGATATAAATCTCAGGGGCTCTGTCTATCCAAGTGACAGTGAGTGGGCAGCTCCAAGTGCGGCAGGCAACCAGCAGGGGTTGTCCCTGTGTGTAACCGCTTCCACAGCGCCTCAACTGTCCTATACCTGAATCCATCTGCTGCTCTTAGTTAGCTAAGGGCTCCCAGTGCTCTGGGCCCCATTCATGACTCCTGGAGGCCCCAGCACTCAGCCCCACAGATGCCCAGCCAGTCTCCTGAGCAACAGGTAGGGCCAACAGGCTCAGGCCCTGAAGACAGACCCCACCAGACCCTGGGAACACAAAGAGAAGGGGCTCACTCCTGGTTGCAGCTACTGAAGAAGTCAGAGTAGTTACTTGTATTTCGCACTCCGATCCCTGGAAGCCCGGCGGTGGCCCCGGCTGTGGCTCCGGGAACGACTGCGGTGGCGCCGGTGTCTGTCTCGGGACCAGGACCTGGAAGACTTTTGTCGTTCTCTGGAGGTAGATCTTGACCGCCTCCGACGCCGGTCCCGGGAACGTGACCTGCAGTAGATGACCAGAGGCTCTGAAGGCTCTGGTGGCCCCACCCAAAACACCCTCTTCTCTCAGCAGGTTCTGCTTGATAGTTATTGATGCCTCCCCTTATCTTCCCACAAATTTAGAACATGGGTCCACAACAGTCCTATCAGTTAATCACTGATCAGAAAGAATTGCAGCCAGATCCTTCCCACCAATGCTTCCCCAAAACATTTTGCCAGGATACTTCTGGCCACCAGAAGACCTCAGCAGTGCCCTCTCATCTTCCCTCTCATTGACAGTAAGTCTTTCTGCTGCACTAAAGCCCCAATCAACCCAACAGATAGGGCTTAAATCTCACCTTGCATCCATGACCTCCACAACCCAGCTCTACCTACCAGATAATAACTGTGTAGCTATAAAGGTTAAGTATTAAGAAAAATGCATATGGAAAAGAACATTTGACTTGAGAACTCTTAAGTGGATCTAGAAACCTACCTCCTGCGATCTCTGGTTCTTGATCCAGACCTAAAATAAAACAAAAAATGAGCAATTTCCCCAAAACATCCCGTCCCTCCCATCTAAGGGGAGATGCCCCAAACCCATGAGGTGAAGGAGGGAAGGCTTCCCGCAGAAACCTGCAGTCTTCAAGCCGCCCCCTCACACTCAGACTAGCAGGGCCAAGTGTCAATGCCCACAGAACGAGGCCTACACCCAACCCTCAGCTCCTAGATGCTTTCTGGCAGGAGGACAGGACCAGCACCCTGCGTTTAGTAACTGGCTCTGAAAAGTCTTTATAGCAGTATCACAGCTACCCCAATAGACCAAAAGTTAAACAAAAGCCTCAAGTGTTAAACACAGGCTCACTGCCAATGTAAGGGTCACATGAGCTCCTTAGGAAATAGTATACCATCAGTAATCCAAAAAATACACACTGAGACAAGATCTCATTTTTGAGATGTGTTCTCAAAAAACAGTGTTCTACAGCAGAAACTTACATGAATGCCACCAATATGTGCTGAGGAGGAAGTGACAAAAGACACTCATAAACTAGGTGGCTTGAGGTGATTTGATACAGGCTCTTGGAAATAGTTTCTGTAACACCTACTAATATTTATGTATTAAATTTGTCCCCCAAATCCTAAGGAATAGTATATAAAACACTCAAATATATACAAAGATGATCTTTAGAGTACTTGTTCAAACAGTCTTTAGGATAGGCAACAAAAACAAAAATAAACAAGTGGGACTATATCAAACTAAAAAGCTTTTGTACAGCAAAGGAAACCATCAAAATATAAGAAAATATTTGCAGCCCCGGCTGGCACGGCTCAGTAGATTGAGAACCGGACTGTGAAGCAAAGGGTCACTGGTTCGATTCCCAGTCGGCACATGCCTGGGTTGTGGGCCAGGTCCCCAGGAGGGGGCACATGAAAGGCAACCATGCACTGGTGTTTCCCTCCCTCCCTAAAAATAAATAAAATAAAAAATAAAGAAAGAAGCCCTGGCTGGTGTAGCTCAGTGGACACTGCGCGGGCCGGAAAATCAAAGGATCGAGGTTCGATTCCCAGTCAGGGCACATGCCTGGGTTGCAGACTGCTTCCCTGCAGGCCAGTTCCCAGCAGGGGATGCACGAAGGGCAAGCATACATTGATGTTTCTCTCCCTCTCTCCTTCCCCTCTATAAATAAGTAAACAAACAAACAAACAAATAAAATATTTTAAAAATAATAATAAATAAAGGCTGACCTTTCTGAGCATAACACTTCACATATTACAGAATAATTCATCATGACCTTTTAAAAATTAAAAAAAAAAGAAAGAAAATATCTGCAAATCATATATCTGATAGGAGCTTAATATCTGGAACATAAAGAACTCCTATAACTCAAAAGAAAAAATTCCAATTAAAAAAATGGCCAGAGGGTCTGAACACTTTTCCAAAGAAGACATACAAATACCAATGGATACATACAAAGGTGCGCACATCACTAATCACCGGGGAAATGCAAATCAAAACCACAATGAGACATCACCTTTCATACTAGCAATCATCAAAAAGACAATTTAAGTGTTGGCAAGAATGTGGAGAAAAGGAAACTCTAATATACTGTTGGTGGGAGTGTTACTGATAAACCAATAAGTAGATTCCTCAAAGAATTAAAACTAGCACTACCAATGACCCTGCAAATCCACTTCTAGGCAAAGTACTCACTCTCTTATCTTTAGTTTCATTTTCTTTGATTTCAGTTACCCACAATCAACCTCAGTCTTAAAACTTTACATGGAAAATTCCAGAAATAAGTTTTGAATTGCACGTGGTTCTGAGCAGATTTTATAAAATCTTGCAACACCCCACTCCATTCTAGATAGCATCTATTTGTCTAGTGTATCCATGCTGTAAACATTACCCACTTGTTAGTCACATTGTAGCCATCTTGGCCATCAGATCGATTGTTGAATTATGGCAGTGCTTGGGTTCAAGGCACCTTTATTCTACTTACTACAAGGCCACAAAGAGCAGGAGTAGTGATGCTGGCAATCTGGATGTGCCAAAGAGAAGCCATCAAGTGTTCTGTATACATAGGGAAAACCCGCATATATAGGGTTCAGTACTACCTGTGGTTTCACGCATTCACTGGGGTCTTGAAATCCATCTCCCACGGAGAAGGGGGTACTACTACTGTATTTACCTAAATGAAATGAAATCACTATCTGGAAAAGATACCTGCAACCCCAATCTAGTGCCTACTGAGACGTACAAGAATAAAGAAAATGTGATACACATACACAAGGAAATGTTATTCGGCCAGACAAAAAGTAGAAATCCTGCTATTTGTGATGACATGCATGGACCCTGAAGGCACACTGCGGGCATTATGCTAAGTGAAATAAGCCAGACAAAGACAACTACTATATGATTTCACTTATATGTGGAATCTAAAAACCCTCAAACTCAGATAGATACGGAGGTAGGGGGAGGGGTGGATGAAAAGGGTGAAGGGGAAAAAAAGAATATTCAGTTATTACACATCACTATAAGGACATATTGCTGGGGGACGATCTCAGAGATCAGGTGAGTGTTCCACAGGTACCAGTACACATAGGCACAACCAAACTACAGTGGTCACCTGTGGAAAAAGGGATCTGCAGGTTTTGCTCAATACATTTTTATACTCTTATGAGTCTCTTTATAATCAGAATCTGTCAGGTAATTAAAATAATGAGAAGAGCCCTGGCTGGTGTAGCTTGGTGGATTGCGGGCCTGAGAATCAAAGGATCGTGGTTCGATTCCCAGTCAGGGCACATGCCTGGGTTGCAGGTCAGTTCCCAGCAGGGGGCGCATGAGAGGCAACCATACATTGATATTTCTCTCCCTCTCTCCTTCCCTTCCCCTCTAAAGATAAAATCTTTAAAAGATAAATAAATAAAGTAATTAATTAATTAATGAAAAGAAACACAAAAAAACACAATAAATTTTATTTGTTCTTTCTCACTTATGCACTGAGAAATTCCTTCATCAAAGCCCAGTTGCTGAGCATTTCCAGGACAATGAGCTGTGCCCAATACGAGTTACTCTTGGCTCAAGTCTCTTCCCTGAACTCTGTCCAGACTCAACATCTTTAGCTTGGATGTCTCTTAGGCATCTCAAACCAAGTATGGCCATAGCCAAACTATGCTCCCCACATTCTCCTTACTCTGATATACTGCTCCCAGTTTCCCCCACCTTCGTAAGTGGCTACCAAAGGCCAGAAATCATGAGGCCACTTCATTCATCCTTTGCATGCCTCACAACAGACCACCAGCAAATCCTATCAACTTCCTAGAACACACCCAGACCCTTCCCACACTCACCTGATTCAAACTGCCACCACTTCCTTTTGGACTCTTCCAGCTGGCTCCTTACTGTTCTCACTGATTCCATCCCTACCACCTGCACTTATTCACAGCAAGGTAGCAGGTCCCACCCTCCTCCCCTGCCCCACATCACTCAAGTCAAAGCCAGAACCTAAAAAGCCCCAAGGTCCTACCCCCACAGCAAGACAGGGCAGTGTGACAAAACATGCTCCTCCCTGTCCTATTTGCTGAGTGCTACAGCCACAGGAGTCAGAGTGTGGCAGGTTCCTCTCCCTCTTCTACTCTTTAGCTCTTGGCAGGGTCTATACCTTCCCAGATAAGAATTAGGTCATCAGAGCTCTCAAGCAGCTAGAGATGGCCACACAGATCTTCTCTGGGCAAGCCAAGACCTTGCTGGACTGAATAAGCTGTGATTTTGCTTACTTTCTTTTAATGGTGACTTAGATACTTAGCAGACCTCAACTGTTACCAACAGCTCTGCACTGTAAGGAGCAGGGGTTTCCTTAGGCACAGGTGCTATCATGGACTCACCTCCTGCTGAGCCGCTCCTCCCGCTCCCTCTCTTCTCGCCTCCTCAAGCGATCCTGATTTCTCTTCTCCTGCTTTTCAGCCACAGTTTTCTAAATAAATGAAAATTTGGCAAATGAGAGCAGAGCAAGTTATACCAACTAGAGTGTGAATACTGTTTAACAAAGCACGCTTATATGATCTCCGTATTGGTAATTCTGATAACAAACTGCACATTCTAAGGTGCAGTACTAACTTCTAAGTCACAGGAAATTTATCATATTGCTTCAAAAACAATCCAGAGCCACGGTGCGTGTAGCTCAGTGGACTGAGCGTGGGCCTGCGAACCAGATAATCGTGGTTCGATTCCCAGTCAGGGCACATACCGAGGTTGCAGGCCGGTTCCCTGCAGGCCAGTTCCCAACAGGGGACGCATGAAAGGCAACCATACATTGATGTTTCTCTCCCTCTCTCCTTCCCTTCCCCTCTAAAGATAAATACATAAAATCTTAAAAAAAAAAATCCAGAAAACTAGTTTTTTGTCTAAATGAGACTCCACCAATTATGTGGTAAAAGAAAACTCAGGTGTCTGACCAAACACATCTTGCTGTTGGGAGCCAAGCTCCTGCTGCCAATGAATAGCTTGTTGTCAAGTACTGAGTGCTACAATGGCTTCAGACCTGGCTCACAGGAACAGCAGGCCAGAAGACCACCAACCTACACAACTGGCTTTCCATACAAAGCTTAACACATGGCTCACCAGACTTGATTGTGAACCCAACAGAAAATAAAACGCAATGGGCAGGAGTAGGCCTTAGGAAACTGTACCATCGGTATACAATTTCCACAGCTCAGCACAAAGCACTGTGTCCAATCTGCACATCCTCCATATGCAACATCTTTCAAAGCCTTTCAATGGCCTGATCTCTCTGACTAGTAAAATGAAGTCCTGAAGAAAGCCAGAGCCAATGAGAAAGCAGCCACCAGTCTTCCTGTGCTCATGAAGGCAGGAAGGATGAGCTTATATCTCAGTGTGGACTGGAGCCTGGCCACATGCCCAGGAAGAGAGAGCATGGCAAAGTCTGGGAGAGAGGCTAGGGGAGCACATTTTCCAGGTGTGAGAACCTTCCTGTCTGACACCCCAGCTCTATAGCTGGGACTCCAATCACCTTGGGTCTGGAGCAGGCACACACAATGGACAGGTTAAGGTGAATGATCTAAGTCTCAGCACCTCTGTTTCTATGCATATTCTTCCTAAGTGGATATGACTACAAAGAGACCTGTGGTCTGGCGTCATTTCCTTTCCAAACCCTTCCTACCCCTTAAAAAACTACCTCCTCCTCCCTTGACAAAGAAAGCCTTACCCTTTTTTTTTAAGGTTTTATTTTATTTTAGAGAAGGGGGAAGGGAGGGAACGAGAGAGGGAGAGAAACATAATGTGCAAGAGGAGACCTGGCCAGCAATCCAAGCCTATGCCCTTACTGGGAATGGAACAAGTGACCCCTTGGTTCACAGGCTGATGCTCGATCCACTGAGCCACACCAGCCATGGCAGCCTGACTATTCCCATACCCTGCATTTACTAGTTTGTGGCCTCGAAATGTGAACATCTCTGGGACTAGTGTAGGTGAAGCCATCTCTGATTAGGGCACAGAACTCCCTCCCTTCCAAATATATTTTCTGTTGTTAGTTTAATAGCTACTTACCAAGTCTGTAATATATTTGTGTTATTTTCAACTTTCAGGATAAAATTATGAGATAATATGGCACAGAAATACAATTTATAGAAGAAATGAGAATATAACATTTCCAAATACTAACAAGATTTTTTTAATGGGGATAATATTGGACATTAAATTGTTATTTATGTTTTACTGGCTACATCACGCCAATTTCTTACATCTTTGACACCCATAAACTTATGAAGAAAAAAATTCTCACTTAAAAATAGGTAGCAAAGCCCTGGTTGGTGTAGCTCAGTGGATTGAGCACAGGTCTGCAAACCAGAGGATCATGGTTTGATTCCCAGTCAGGGCACATGCCTGGCTGGGTTGCAGGCCACTTCCCTGCAGGCCTGTTCCCAGGAGGGGACTCACTAGAGGCAACCATACATTGATGTGTCTCTCCCTCTCTCCTTCCCCTCTAAAGATAAATAAATAGAATCTTAAAAAAAAAAATGTAATGAAGGGGCTGGTGTGGCTCAGTGGATTGAGAGCCGACTTGCAAGGCCAGAGGATCACCAGTTCAATGTCCAGTCAGGGCTCATGCCTGGGTTGCGGGCCAGGTCCTGGTTGAGGATATGCTAGAGGCAGCTGATGTGTGAGTCTCTCACACATCCATGTTTCTCTCCCTCTCTTTCTCCTTCCCTTCCCTTCTCTCTAAAAATAAATAAATAAAATCTTTTAAAAAATGTTTAACAAAATATATCATTTTTCAAAATTCTTTTGGGAGCACAGGAGTAAAATGTGTCAAGACCAGTGGCTGAAAATATCCTTACCACCACCTCATCAAGTGCCAATCACGTATCACATTCTGTTCCTTGGATGCAGAGCCCTCCCACCCACTGCTACTTCCCGAGAGGCACACAGGGTTTGGATCTTGATTAACACACTGTCCTATCATAGCTGCCATGTGTCTGTCCTTCTACCAGATTTCAGGTGTCTGGAGAGAAGGCCTGCCTATTTCCCAGCACCCCATCTTCACCACACACCACACAACAGGGAAGACTCGTCAGTTTGGAGAATAACAACTCTAGTATCTAAAGCATGTCCAATCTTCCTTCTGTAGCCAACACATCGAACGTTTTGCAGTCTAACCCAGGGAAACAATCACCTTCTCATCTTAAGTTGGCTCAAGGCAAGGGCCAGGATGCGTCACCTCCCATCTAGCCTAACCATTCTCCATGCATCGCCTCTAGCCATGGAGAAAAACTAGAGACTGCTGGTTCTTCCCTACCTCCTAACAAGTTATTTCAGAGATGTGCAAGAGATGTTTGCATCGTGTGCTGGACTCTGCTATTACCTTCATGAAAAGGAAGTGCAGACTAAATAAATACACTAAGCCCCTTATGTTTCTTGTATGAAAGAAGCGATGAATTGAGCATTTCATTATAAAACTCAAGGTATGTTGTTCTTAAAGAGGGTCAAAACAGTTTTTGAAAGGGAAATAAATGTGAAGATCACGAGACTTCTCAGGTTTTTCCAGAAACAAAATACATTAACGTACCCTCAACTGATCAAGCTTCTCACGGATCTGAATGAATCCCAAGTGCAATTTGCCCCCAAAGTGGTCTGCAAGACGACGGTCATTGTCATGGAGACCAAGGTAGGCTGAGCAGACTTCACAGACACGCAATTTCTGCTGCTGAAAACTGGATGCAGGCATGGAATTTCTGTATTCTTCCTGGAGAAAGAGAACAGAGTGATAAAAGTGCCACCAAATATGGCACCTAGGACAACACCAAAATGAAAATATCTGAAAGGATGAAGTGACTTAACAATAAAAACTGGATTGTTTTCAAAGCTTCAGATATTCTTAACCAATTCAATTTCCTCATTTACTTAAATGAACCCACAGCCCTCTCTGGGTAAGCTCATTTGGTTAGAGCGTTGTCCCAATATGCCAAGGATGTGGGTTTGATCCCTACTCAAGGCACATACAAGAATCAACCAATGAATACACAAATAAGTAGAACAAAATGATGTTTCTCTTTCTCTAAAAATCAATTTTAAGAAATTTAAAAAAGAAAAAAAAAAAAAGAAATGAGCAATCAATTCCAAAGCAACAAGGAAAATTCAAAACACTCAGACAAGTAGGGTGCTGCCTGTTCTCAGAAGCTAGGAGTAAAGGCAGATCTCTGCTAGGCACCGTAGGGAGCTCTATGAGGACAAGAGGGGCAAGAAAGGAGAATCTCCTGGCTTGTGTAATTTAGTGGATTGAGCATGAGCAGTGAACCAAAGGGTCAGCAGTTCAATTCCCAGTCAGGGCACATGCCTGGGCTGTGGGTAAGGACCCCAGTGGGATCCACATGAGAGGCAACCACACATTGATGTTTCTTTCCCTCTCTTTCTCCCTCCCTTTTCCTCTCTAAAAATATATTTTAAAATCTTTTAAAAAAAGGAGGACTTCCGCTAAGATGGAGGCATAGGTGGATAAGCCGTGCCTTCTCACACAACCAAGTTTAGAGACAACTAAATATTAGCAACAGAAAACACAGCCAGAACACAGAAAATTGAACTTTTCGGAAGTCTGTTAACAAATTCTTCAGCCTGACCGGTAAGGGGCGAAACCAGCAGCTGGTGGAGCGGGGTTGCACAGGAAAATTCGGTCAGATGGACTCAGGCGCCCGGAATCCAGGCGCATGGAATCCAGGCGCAGGGTTGGACCTAGTGAGCGACCGAGCAAGAGACCAAGCGAGCGACCGCGACCCTGCGGGAAACAGCGAGGGAGCAGGGCTGCGGGTTGACTGTGGTCGCGCATCTGTGCGAGGATAGACAAGGGAGGGAGTGGGCGATTGGACCAGGACCCAGCAGGTCCCCGCAGCAAGTGGCAGGGAGGGCGCCGCCATTTCCCTGCTCTGATCCCACCTCCACATACAGTGTCATAACCCAGTGACTGAGTGGCCCGGCCCAGGTGAACTGCCTAAGCCTCTGCTCCTCACCCTGCGGTGCGAAACTGCAGAGGGGGCCGTCATTTCCCCGCTCTGACCACGCCCCGACATACAGCGTCACAACCCAGCGACCTGGTTGTCCAAGGCTCCTTTCCTCACACTTAAAGAGCACGAACAGACCAAAAATGGCTCAAGAAGATCTCAAAGCCCCGGAACCTATAAATCTAAGTAAGTGATGAAGAAATAGCAAAACTCTCAGACGCACAGTTTAAAACACTGGTGATCAGGATCCTCACAGAACTGGTTGATTATAGCCACAAATTAGACAAATATATGAAGGCGAAACTAATTGAAATGAATGGAATTGCACAGGAAACCAATAGCGATGAAAAGGAAACTGGGACTCAAATCGATGGAGTGGACCAGAAGAAAGCAAATAATGGCCAAACAGAAAAGAGTCAAGAAGCAAGAATTCAAAGAAATGAGGAGAGTCTTAGGAACCTCCAGGACATCTTTATACGCTCCAACATCCGAATTATAGGGGTACCAGAAGGGGGAAAGGCACAGCCACCAGTGGAAAACTTATTTGAACAAATAATAAAGGAGAATTTTCCCAATCTGGCAAAGGAAATAGACTTCCAGGAAATCCAAGAAGCTCAGAGAGTCCCAAAGAAGTTGGACCCAAGAAGAAACACACCAAGGCACATCATAATTACATTAGCCAAAATTAAAATGAAGGAGAGAATCCTAGAAGCAGCAAGAGATAAGGGGACAGTCACCTACAAAGGAGTCCCCATGAGACTGTCAGCTGATTTCTCAAAAGAGACCTTACAGGCAAGAAGGGGCTGGAAAGAGGTATTCCAAGTCATGAAATCCAAACACCTACAACCAAGATTGCTCTATCCAGCAAAACTTTCATTTAGAATGGAAGGACAGATAAAGTGCTTCTCAGATAAGATCAAATTCAAGGAGTTCATCATCACCAAGCCCTTATTATATGAAATGTTAAAGGGACTTAACTAAGAAAAAGAAGATAAAAAATATGAACAGTGAAAGGACAGCAAACTCAGTTATTAAGAATCACATCTAAAACAAAAGCAAACTAAGAGGACAGCTAAATCAGGAGCAGAACCATAGAAATGAAGATCACATGGAGGGTTAGCAATAGGGGAGTGGGAGAAGGAGAAGGGGGGAGAAGGTACAGAAAATAAGTAGCACAGATGTTAGGTAGAAAATAGATAAGGGGAGGGCAAGAATAATATGGGAAATATAGAATCTAAAGAACTTGAGACACGTGGTCATAAACTAAAGGGGGAAATGGTGGGGGAGAGGTGTCCAGGGTAGAGGGGAATGAAGGGGGGAAACAGAACAACTATAATAGCATAATTAATAAAACACATTTAAAAAAAGAAGAAGGTGTGTCTATAAACAGCAACAGGAGAGATCTGTGGTAATGGATGTTCTGTATCTTGACTATCAATGTCAACATCCTTTCTGTACTAGAGTTTTACAGCACCAGGGCAAATAGGGTAAAGGGTACACAAGATCTCTGTTCTATTTTTTAATCCTGCAACTAAGAGCAGAAAGGACCCCATAGGTGACACACCACCACAGAGACCAGCACTGCTGAGGCCTCACCCATGGCATCCTGTCTTGTGGGAGATTTTATACAGTGCTGCCTGGTGGGAGCACTCACAGTGATGGGGACAGCAGCAGGGGCAGAATGCTAGTAGTCCTGAGCATGAACAGCCATGTGTCCCACATCCTGCTCCTGTCTCAGCTGTCTGCAGACATCTATGTGGAGAACTCCACAACCACAATTACTTTAGCCCAAGTACACACCTCTGAGCCATCAAAGGATTTTAGTGTCTGCCTGGTTCTCTGAAGCAGGAAGAACTGGGCCTCAGGGTATGGTAAGAGGTCACGGAGCATCTCTCTGACTCTCTGGCCGTTCTGGTAGAACAGTCAGCAATGTGGAAAGCCTGAATTTGTGCTACATATAAACACAAATTTCCCATTTAAGTATAGAGGAAGGCCCTGGCTGGTGTAGCTCAGTGGATTGAGCGCAGGCCTGCGAACCAGAGCATCGCGGTTCAATTCCCAGTCAGGGCACATGCCTGGGTTGCAGGCCAGTTCCCGGCAGGGGACACACAAAAGGCAACCATACACTGATATTTCTCTCCCTATCTCCTTCCTTTCCCCTCTAAAGATAAATAAATAAAAAGTAAAAAAAAAAAAAAAAAGTATAGAGGAAGTTAGTTCCTATATAAGACATAAATATGATTTAAGTTGGGTGTAAAATGTAGGTATGATGTAAGTCATCACCATGGTAATGCCATTCAAAGTATCTGATTTGCAAATATCAACCGCAACTGTCACATAACCCCAATTTGTCTTTTACTGTGCTCACATCTAAACATTTATATACAATAATATCAGATACATATTGTGAATCCTTGTCTCTTATGTGCGAGAATGGATTATAGAACTTCCGAGCAAGATGGAGGTGCAAGTAGACATGCTTTGCCTCTTTGCACAACCACACAAAGAATCAAAGCTAAACCTCAAAAGAAACAACTGCCAGAACTGTCAGAAAATCCACCCAAATGGAAGTCTGACAACCAAGGATTTAAAGAAGTCACATTCATGCAGATGGGTAGGAGGGGCAGAGATGGGCAGAGGTGAGGAGACACAGTGTGGTACAGAGTTGGCTGCAGCAGAATAGGCAGTCTCACACTCATGTGTGGTGGATAAAAATCAGGAGGAATACCTCGGGAGAGAGTGATCCTAGGCCAGACCCCAGAGCCCAGGGTTCCAGTGCCAGAAGGACAAATCCTCACAACTTCTGGATGTAAAAAACCAGTAGGGGTTGGGGCAGCAGAAGAAACCACCTGCTTTTCAGGAGACTCTGTTTAAAGGGCCCACAAGGTCTTAGAATGTATGCCCACACTGGGATTCAGCACGAAGGCAAGAGCTGGGCAAACTTCCAGAAGCCAAAGAGTGGCACTGTCCCCTCTCCAAGCCCTCCTCCCAGACAGAGCCACAAAGCATGGAAGCAGGTTGCCCCAACCTGGCAAATACCTGAGGCTCCACCACACACAATTTACAGGTGCCTTTTCTACAATAGGCCACATTACTAAGACAAGGAGTCAAAGCAGCTCTACCCAATACACAGAAACAAAAACAAGGAGGCTGCCCAATTTAAGAGACAAAGAAATATGGCCCAAATGAAAGAACAGAACAAAACCCCCCAAAAGAACTAAGCAAAACAGAGATAAACAACATAGCAGATATGGAGTTCAAAACACTGGTGATCAGAATGCTCAAAGTTGAACTCACTGAGTACAGCAATGACATAAAGAAATGAAAGTTACACTCAGTGAAATGCAGAAAATCTACAGGGAACCAACGGTGAAGGGGAGGAAGCTGGGATTCAAATTAATGAATTGGAACATAGGGAATGAGTAAGTATTCAACCACAAAAGCAAGAAAAAACAAGAGCTAAATTAAAAAAAAAGAGGATAGTATTAATAAGCCTCTGGGACATCTCCAAACATACCAATCCAAATCATATTGATGCCAGAAGAAGAAAAGCAAGCAATTCAAAACTTATTTGAAACAATAATGAAAGAGGGCCACACCAAAACTTATCATAATTAAAACGCCAAAGGTTAAAGATAAAGTGAGAATCTTAAAAGCAGCAAGGAAAAAGCAGTCATTTACCTACAGGGGAGTTCCAAGAAGACTTTCGTCTGATTTCTCAAAAGAAACTTGGCAGGCTAGAAGGGACTGGTAAGAAATATTCAAAGTCATAAAAAGCAGGGACCTACAGCCAAGGTTGTTCTACACAGCAAAGCTATCATTAGAGTAAAAGGGCAGATAAAGAGCTTTGCAGACACACACATAAAAAAAACTAAAGGACTTCATCATCACCAAACTATTATTATATGAAATGTTAAATGAACTTATTTGAGAAAAAGATCATAACTATGAACATTAAAATGACAACAAACTCAACTATCAACAACTGAATCTAAAAGACAAAAACAAACTAAGCAAATAACTAAAACAGGAGCAGAACCAAAGATATGGAAATCATCTGGAGAGTTATCAGCTGGGAGGGGGAAGAAGAAGAATGGAGGAAAAAGTACAGGGATGAAGAAGCAAAATTGGTAGGTACAAAGTAAGAAAGGATGATGTTAAGAATAGTATAGGAAATGGCCCTGGCTGGGGTGGCTCAGTGGATTGAGCATCAGCCTATGAACTGAAAAGCTGTAGTCAGGGCACATGATTGGGTTATGAGCCAGGTCCCTCCTTGGAGGTATGCAAGAGGCAACCAGTCAATGTTTCTCTCCTTCTCTTTCTCCCTCCCTTCCCTATCCCTAAACATAAATAAATAAAATCTTAAAAAAAAAAAAAAAAAACAGTATAGGAAATGGAGAACCCAAAGAACTTATTATATGCATGACCCACGGACACGAACTAAGGTGGCGGGGGGAATGCTGGAGGGAAGGGGATACTGGACAGAGGGAGGCAAAGGGGAAAAAACTGGGACAACTGTAATAGCATAATCAACTTCTATACATATAAAAAAAAGCATCATCAATTTATACATATAAACTGCCTATACATATATACATATATATATTTATAAAATGGGTTTTAGCCCTGGCTGGTGTGGCTGAGTGCTGGCCTGCAAACCAAAGGGTGGCCAGCTGGATTCCCAGTCAGGGCGCACGCCTGGGTTGTGGGCCAGGTCCCCAGTTTGATGCATGCGAGAGGCAACCAAATGTTTAAAATAAGCCTCTTGCACACACTGATGTTTCTCTCCTTCTCTTTATCCTTCCCTTTCCCTCTAAAAAGTAAATTAAAAATTTTTAAAAGGGAATTCATTATACTATCTACAAATATCACTTACAAAGGTGTTGGTCTGCCACTCACATGAAGCATTATCTCATCGCCTTCTAACAAATGCTGGTGACCTCAATTCCAGCCTGTACCAGGGTATTCCAGAAAGCAGTCCTGACAGCCCCATCATGAATAACCCCATTGCGCTGTCTCTTCAACTTGTCACTATCTCAGGAGGCATTGCTCTAACACCCACAGGCCCTTGGCACTATTCTATTATGTATATACCATGCTGAACCAGGGGTATAGTAATAAAACCAGACTGCACCAGGGCACCTAACATGCCATCTCATCTCTACCTGACCCACCCTGTCACCACCACTTTGATACACCTCTGAGTCTACGGATCTCAGCTAAGTGGCCTTCAGGATCACTTTACCCTATCTAGAGATGCCTGGCAACTCAAAGTCACTGTCAAACTCAGACCCCATTTATTTTAAGCATCTTCCTCCATCTGAATGAATCTTACCCAACTGTTCACATTCCCTTCTGTCTGTGCCCTGATTCCCTTCCATTGCCATCTCCATGAAGAAGAACCAAAAGGGTTTACTCACAAGTAGAAAAATGCCTGGCTTTGAGCTGGAGCTTGGCAAGCACTTACTAAAGGAATGTATCTTATGCTCCCTCAGACTCTTCCATTCTTAAGCCAGTTCCACTTCTACTGGTGAGGATTCAAGAACCACAGGGTATCCAACAAATATAATAACCCAGGAAAAAATGGTTGTCAGTAATAGAAATACTGAGTCCTCTTGATCTGTTCCATTACCACACTGCTAATGTGTCCTGGCCAGGAATCCAGGCCAATACCACTTGGATCTACCCCAACCTGCATAGGCTCTCTCTACTGAAGATGCAGTGTCACTCAAAACACCCAGTAAAACTGGTCTCTGGGACCTTTTGACAGGATGTGCTCACTAACACTACTTCACTGGCTCAATACTCAGGACTGCTGTACTCCACACATGGGAATTATGCTCAGAGCTGGCAAGCGACTCTTCTTAGGCAGTAAGACAAACCCAAGTGTGCACTGAGATCCTGTCAATAAATCATCTTATTTTAACTCCTTCCTAATATCAAGAAACAGAGGCATAGTTTAATTTCAGTCCAGATAGTTATCTCTCTAGAGTTACTGTTTTCCCTTTCTCTAAGACATTTTTCTCACTAACCTCAGCTTCTTTTTTCTTTGCACGGACTTTTTCCACTTCCATAAGAATTTTCTGGGATTCATCCACATTTCCTTCTGCTCCCAGCTGTTCAGCTTTGGCAAGAAGTTTTCCTATTTCTTCATTTAACTCATGTACTTTTTCTGCCTGAGGGAAGAAAAAATCAGATAAGTAGACGTCTAAAAACGAAAGACTTTTAATACAATGAAAATGTATGTTTCTCTCACTACACTAAAAATGAAGTCTGTTCCACCAAAAAGAAAGTCAAAGATCTTCAATGGATCACATATGAATTTTGACAATTATGACATCCTTATTGCCAACAGTGAGACTCTGACCATAAAATAAACCTATTCACTCCATCCCAATAAAAGTAACAGTATCTGTCACTTCCAATATGGTTACAAGAATCAACACACTGGTCATATTATAGGCTGTCTCTTTTTATGTCTTCTATCACAATTTGATCTTTCAGGTAAGAGTAATAAAATATCTAGGTTGAAATACACAAAATGTCTAAAATGCCTAATTATTTGTATTTACTCTGTGAAATAAAATAGCACCCTTAGTGCAGTTAGCAACTGCAATTGCTTTTACAAAACTGAAAGGAAAAAAACAATGAACAAACTCAGTTCCACTGAATAGGAGGAACAGAAGCATAATGCAGCTAACACTCAGGCCAATTATATACAGATCTAACTTCATCCCATGATACAGATGTACCAGTCCAACCATTTACTCACTTGCCCCCATTTCCTGTTTTATGTGGGATGTTGAAAAAACAAACAAACAAAGCCTTTAAAAATACATATATCCGGCCTTACACCCAAGGTGGCGAGTACGACCCACCCCAAAGATGCACTATCAGTGCTGATGGTGAGCTGTTAGCCTGTTAGTAGCCCAGTTCTAACCAGTGATTTGTAGCAAGAACTCAAGGCAAAAGTCTCCAAGGTATACCTTTGCAGAAACTTCTGCACTGATCTCTTCCTGTGTCTCTGCCAGTCGCTTCTTGGCAAGCTCAGTTCTCCGATCACACTCAGCGATGAAGGACTCCAAGTGATCCATTGCCTAGCTCAGGAGAAGCAGAGAACAAGAATCAATTACATACATGACCTCAGAACTCAATTGTTTGACAGGAAAATACTCCTGGGTTGGTTTCTTAAAGCCTGTAGGTTCAGTGGGAAGATTTTAAACTACATTCCAGCCAACACATCCAATAATCACATTAAATCAAGGGGTTTTGTTAAAACAAATGATCACTCAGAAGTATGGTCTTCTCATCTACTTATTTATTTCCAAAATTTGTAAAAGGACCCCCATCCCTCAATAACATTTCCAAGAAAACACTGAGGAAAATTACAACACTTGGCCATAATGAATATAGTGTTCTCTGAGGGACAGAAAAGGCTGGCCTGAGACTGTTGTTAGAGCCCTCCTCTGGTGAGCTGTGGGAAATGCAGATGATGTACTCACTGGTCTTTGTGAGCCACGCAAATATTACCCCTCATGTTCTGAGGGTAGAGCTCCCCCTTCCACCTCAAAACAAAACAATAGAACAAATATTACTGAGAGCTGTGAATAAGTTTAGTTATTGCCTACTGTCTAAAGTAGCAGGAAAATTGGTATACTACTTACCCAAAGAGATAAAGGAAAAGAAACTCTAGAAATCTAATTGCTTATTCTGAAGAGTTGGTGGGAAACAATAAAATACTAATTAGCAAGATGTAACATATGCTAAGCAGTTACTGTGCCATACTAATCCAAGGCCCCAACATAACTTCACATACATACAAAGAGCAAACCACTTGTCCGATTTTCGGCTACAACCAGTGATAAGCAGCACTTCCTAAGTTACGTCCATAAAGCACCCTGCTAATGTTGGCAGCATATTAAATGTGAAAGCAAGTGAATACAGCCATGGAGGACAGGATCAGACAGTATGATCACTTAAAAAATATATATATATATAGAAAGAAAATTTGAGGCAAAGATGAAAATTAGGCAAACAAAGTTAGGTCAACAGACCAAGTGGTGGTAATCTATATCCCTCCCCCAAAGATGGCAGGAGAGATCAGCTGTGAAGAAAACGAGCCACAAGAATCACTGACACTGGAATGGACAGTAGACAGGATCTCTGGAGAGGGTTATGGTCTCCTCCAGAAATTTAAATACTCTTTTCAAGTAAATACAATTCTTGAAAGTAGGTCAAGACAGGGAAGAGGCTCTATGATGGTGCCAAGTCCCCCAGGACACATCATCAGTCACCGAGGCCAACACTCAGATTAAATCATGGGGCTTTTGATTTTAGAACTCAGGATCTCTCTCCTGTTGTTGGTCATCCAACTATTCTCTATCAGAATACTTCACTATGTTCAAATCAAACAACCAGGAAAGCAAATGACTGGCATTTATTTGCCTACATACACAGTCTTTCCTGGGAAAATGTAGAGTTCTGACTCATCAGGATCAAAGTACCCATGAGCTTATAATGGTGCCCATGAGCACAGGTGGTTCACGCACCACCTATGCTCACCTAAGACAAAAGCTCCTAAGATAATGACCTGAGGTGCCCCAGGTTCACTAAAGACAGGCACTGAGACTTGGTGCAGAGCCCTTCCAATGTCTACACAAATGAGCCGGCTCACACCTGAGACAGACCCAGGGATGCACCCACCAGGGACTGAATGGAGAATAGACATCTGACAACACTGCCAGTGTCTTTACCAATCAGAGAAACCACTTATACCTTAAGCAGAATCCAAACTGGCTCAGCAGGGTCAAGAATCAGAATCAGACATCTGATAAGCTATAAACTAAATGGTAAACTCAACAAAATAGAGTAAGCAGACCACAGAGATGTCTTTTAACTACCAGGCTCTTTAAAAGACGGCTCTCTGTTCTATCACTCACCCTCTCTTCAACGGGATTCTCAATTTCAGAGTGGTCCCTAATCAAAGAGCAGGTCTAGATGACTTTTTTTAAAAGGTACTTGAGTCTAAAACTTAAGTGCTAATTATAACCTACCACTCACTAGAAAGTCATCCATCTTCTCTTATTCAAGGGTGATGAGATGAAACTCGAACTACTAAGGGTACTTGAGCACGGCACTTTGACACAATAGGCACACAGGTCTCATTGCTGCTGCAGGGGGCTGTCCTTTCACACACAGGACTATCTGTGCTGTTCCTGACTCTGCCTACCAAGCAGCAATGACACTGGCCAGCAGTCAGTAAGCCTAAGACAAGACCATGTTGTTAGAATGGTCACAGCAAACACGTGCTCCTGTACAGTGTTGCCTGTTCCACACACTCCTCAAAATAGCCACACAGGGACTCTTAAGGCCTCCATTTCCCAGGTGAAGAAACTGAGATAATTTCCCAACTACTAAGTGATGGTATCAGGATGCAACAAGGGGCCCTGTGGTTTGGCTCCCTACACCTTAGTCCTCACAATTCAGAGGCAGTTAGGACCAGCACAGTTTCTATGAATAAAAACAGGTGAGCCCTGGCTGGTGTGACTCAGTGGATTGAGTGCTGGCCTGTGAACCAAAAGGCCTCCAGTTTGATTCCCAGTCAGGGCACATGCCTGGGTTGTAGGCCAGGCACCCAGTTGGGGGCATGCAAGAGGCAACCAATCATTGTTTCTCTCATACACTGGTTTCTTTCCCTCTCTTTCTCCCTCCCTGCCCCTCCTTCTAGAAATGAACAAATAAAATCTAAAAAAAACAGAAAACAAAAAAACAAAAAATAAACCCCCAAAACCCAACCAGATGAAGCAACTTGTCCAAGGTCACACAAAAACTAGGTATAATCAGAATGGTCACATCTGGTATATTAAAGTTTGGAAATTACCATATTTTTTGGACCATAAGACACACCTAGGTTTTAAAGGAAAATAAGAAAAAAAATTGAAGCAAAAAATGTGGTAAAATATTTAATAACATAAATAACATAATATTTCACCAATGTAAATGTAAACAGAACTCAATAGCAGCATTAACAACCATTTATTCCTCCCAAATTTGGGGGTGGGGAGGAGTGTGTTTTATAGTCTGAAAAATATGGTAGTTGATATGGTGTATTGTTCTAGAAACCTGTCAAATAAAACATCACAAAGCAAGACAGGGTTAATTGTATTTTCACCAAATTAAAGAGAAACTAAATTACTTCACTAAATTATTTACATCTTCGACATGTAAACGCTGAAGAAATATACTGCTTTGTAACTTTTCCACAGGTTAAACTAGAGTTAACATTGCTATCTGCCAGTGTTCAAGCTGAAAAAACTTGAAAATGTATTCACACACAGATAACCTAACACTCTTTCTCAGGGACTTCCTAGACAAAACACTCGAAAATGAAGCCTGGCTAGCCTAGGCTGAGAGTGCACTAGGCTGGAGAAGCTAATGGAACACTGGGAGGAACCCTCTCTCGGATAACACACCTGAGTTTTGGGTGGCTCCTGGGTGGAAAGATGCCAGAAATACCACCCATCAAGCTCAAACTGAGGGTACAGGCAAGGAACACTTCCACAAAGAACTATCTTTATGACAACTCTGTCAGGCCCACAAAGAAATACGTTTTTATACCTTTTGAGTCTCTGGCTGGCAAAGACCCAAAGTTTGGCAACTCTGTTAGTGAAGATGTAAAAATTCAATTCTCATGGGTGGGAGCATTCGCTAAGGCACTATTAATATGACAAACACACACCGTTCTGACCAAACAGTCGCACTTCTAAAATTTTTCCCAGATACATGCATAATGTGCCAAAGTGTAATGCAGTGCACACCATGATCATCACATAAGGTAGATGCCCACCCTCTTTGGAATACCATATAGTCACAAAAAGGAATAAGGAAACTCCAACCAATAGGAAATAGTCTCAAAGACATATTGAAAAGTTAAACAAAAAGGAGGAGCAAGTATAAAGTAAGTGTAGAGTAGACTACTGTTCATGATTTAAAAAAAGGAATATAGCCCTGGCTTGTGTGGCTCAGTGGATTGAGCACCAACCTGCAGTCTGAAAAGCTGCCAGTTCAATTCCCAGTCAGGGCACATGCCTAGGTTATGGACCAGGCCTCCAGCTGGGGGTGTGCGAGAGGAAACCAAGTGACATTTCGCTTGCACATCAATGCTTCTCTCCCTTCTTCCACCAAAAATAAATTTAAAAAATTTTTTAAAGGAATACAGATATATTTTCCCCTCAGGTATCTATGTAAACTCTAGTTAACTGAAGAAACATAACAACTGGCCACCTCTAGCAGCTACCTGGTGGCTGAAGAACAGAGCAGGAGAAAGCTTTCACAACATACCTTTTATAGCTTTTAAATTTTGAACCATGTGAAGTTTTACAGGTTTTTAAATTAGTAAGAGATACTGCAACCCTAGTGAAATACCTGATCCAAGGCAATAATCCTCCACTGCTGTTTAAAGCATTAGGCCAAATACTAACTGGGACATTTACAATCAACAGTTCAAGCTGCCTGCAACACCTAAGCCCACTGATCAAAGTACCACCCAAGGTGCAGCAACAGAAAGTGCACAGCTCTGCCCCTGAAATATCCTGGTCTAGGAAGAACTGGTAAATCTGATGATGGAGCCTCCAGATCTAATTCCTAGGTTACAGAGAATTTCAAAAATGAGGGAAAACATGTTAAAAAAGATATCCTGAAGATACAATCAGCAAAATTCTAGATATGACTTAAAAATTATCTTTGAATAGATTTAAAAAGACCAACAAAGCATTCTAATGTGTGGCATTTTGGATCCTGAGTCAAAGAAAGAACTGTAAAAAAAAAAAAAAACCCACCCCTTTTTGATTCAACCTTGGATATTTGAACACTGCCTATGAAATGTTAAACTACAATTATTGTAAATAAAGTTACTATCTTCTAAATATACTATTTGCAGTATTTACAGATAAAATTCAATGTCTAGGAGCCAGTATAAAATAATCCGTGGGGCCCTGGCTGGTGTGGCTCAGTGGACTGACTGCCTGCCAGCAAACCAAAAGGTCACCAGTTTGACTCCCAGTCAGGGCACATGCCTGGGCTGCTGGCTGGTTGGGAG